GTCGGGCCCACTGCAACTCTGACCCCTCTTGCTCGCGCCGATGGCTCGGCTTCCTATCTGTGTCCCTCCACTGGATCCAATATCCTGGGCTCTGTCAATGCCCCCGTCGAGCTTCCCGGACGCCGGGATGCCTTGAAGCCCGAAGAAGCGACCGTGGAAGTGTTTGTGAAGCCGGGCACTGCGCCTGCTGGTGTTGGCGAACGGTACGTCGAGGGAATCATCAAGGGAGTCCTTGGAAGGTTGATCTTGGGGCGCGAGAGGGGCTACCCTCGGCGTGGTGTCGTGGTCACGCTAGCCATCGTCGGAGGTGGGAGTGTAGGAAGAGGAGAACCGGTACGTATTTTGTGGATTGGCGAGACTTGGACAACCTCTGTCCAGCTTGCGTCGCTTGGCGGCTAACTCATTCTCTTAAATTCTATAACAGTATCTGACTCTTCTGCCCGCGCTGCTTCATACCGCCCTTCTTGCCTTGCTATCGGCCGCTGTCCCCCTATCCATGACCTTCTCGGCGACTGTTCTGGCTGTCGATGCATCAGGTGAAATCACCCGGGAGCCGTCAACCGCACAGGCAGCCACTGCCAAATCCCTCCATGCCCTGGCGTTCTCATCCAAGGGTCATCTGCTGCTGAATGAGAGCTCAGGGGCTTTTGACTTTGAGACGTGGGAAAAGGTCCACCAGCGCGCGCTGGCAATCTGTCACGGCACACCGGCTGTTGGCACCGATGGAGACATTGCCATGGCGGAGGATGTAGATGGCCAGCCCCTGGAGGGGATCATGCGCGAGTCTATTGAGGATCAGATCCACCGCGACTACGCCTGGAAGATCGATGCTGCTTGATTACCCCGCGGATACCACGGCAGCTAAGTAAATTCAGTCGCGACGGGCGATTACAGCCAGCGAGCGGTCGCTCCCATGAATTGTCGTCCCTTCTATCGCCAGTATTCTTAGGTGGCTTTTACACATGCCCCTTGCACACGAAGGAAGCTTTTCATCGCACGCGGACCCATGTGCATGAACGAGACTTTCTGGGCAAGTGTAGAAGGATTGTCATCGATGATATTCTACTGGCTGATAGGCAGGCTAAGAGAAGGACACAGGGGATGGCAGGGAGGGTTATGTCGCAGGAACCGACAAGCCATCTAACAGGATCACGGCGAGGGACGTGCGTGAAAGGAGCCAACCACCTCCATTAATTAGATGTCTCGGAAGAGTTGATTCTCAGCGATAAGGCAAAGCGAACCCCCCAGCTCCAGCCACATGGGGAGTGCTGCAATATACCGGATATTAATAGAAAGTGACCATACTAGTTCTAGAGAGCTAATTAAGAAGTATGTGTGTGGAGTTGGCAAAAGTTCAGGGATCTGTGGGATGAAGACCACCCCATCCCTGCGTTCTCCAACGTGTAATGGCTCGTAATCTATGAAGACAAGACATCCAGTGAAAAGGAGAGCGACCGAGGCATGCGCCGACCGGCACAGTTGAATGGAATAGAGTAGTAGCTGAAAGAATCTGATGGATCAAGCAGATGTCGCAAGTGCATTGCACAGTATGACACTCCCTTGCACCTGGGAAAGGGAAGGTTCTTCTTCAATGTCTGTGATATGTGTGATCGGCCTCTTCGGGCAATGGGGGTGGGTGGAACAAGAAGAGGGAAGGGATGGAGGGAGGGGTGAATTCACCCGGTAAATAATCATGACAATACGGGCAAGAGCAGTTACATACATACTTTACACACACTAGACTAACTAAGTAAGTAGTAACTAAGTAACTCCAGTAGGACTGACGATGCATCCTCTCTCCATCCTCTTCCCCCCCCCTACCTTCTTGATTGACTTACTGTACGCTTCACCAAGAATTCCCACATTACTTTTTCCGTCAGCCTCGGAATAGCCCACGTCATTTCCGACAGCTACTTTACTACTGTTTCTTCTATTCGGTGCGCGTTCCATGGCCTTTAGGGATCTGGGTCAGCTTACTGAGTGGGTAGTAGTGAGTTTACCGTACATTCAATGGTTTCTCAGGCCTGCGGAGTGTCTGTTGCGGAGTTAACTGCCACCCGCCGCTGGAATAATCTCCCCGGGTTCAATGATGACAGTCACCCGCTCTGACTCTCATTATTAAGGATGTGGAAGCCTATCGAAGTTCGACCAGCAGACTAGACTGCGATGCCAGTGGATGCGACCAGAGGAAGGTGTTTAGCCTGACCAATGGTCAAGGCCGCCATGAACCTTGAAGTGGATTACACTGGAAAGGCGCCCGCCCAAACCCCGTTACATCCGAGTTCGTTACTTCCCATTATTATTATTATTATTTCCCCCCCGGCGTTTTTCCATTCCGTCTCCAGCATATTCCATCATTACCTATCGAATGCCCATCATTTTTTTTTTATTTTAATTCTCTCTTCTGTGTTCCCGTCTGACTGAACCAACCAGCTCCTGCATCACACAATCTGTCATATTTCTATATCTGTCCATGGCGTCCTCCCCGCTAGACCATGGCTCGATGAACCACCCTTCTTCCTCGTCCGCAACTGGCCCTCTGCCGTCTTCCTCAACATCATTGCCCTCATCACCACCACCACCGCCCTCCTCCGCGGCCCCACCACTATCAGTTCCTCCGGTGCGCCCTCCTCCTCCTCATCGCTCGGCCACTGTGGGAGCGTCGCTCCTCCGCGATTATGCCTCGCACATAGATCCCTCTCACTCTACAAACGATATCCACGCGGCCGACTCGGCTCCCGAGACTCCCAATCTGGGTCCCAGCACCCTCCAGAAACCCGATCATCCTCGTGAGGGCGCCGCTGTTCCCGCTTTCACGACGTCCTTCCTGCCACGCCGGCAGTCGGCCTCTCTAGCGGGCCATCATCGGAACGCGTTATCTAACGATTCAATCCCCCGCCAAACTCTTCTCAAAGCTCTCGCATCACGACCATCCATGTGCAATCACCAAAGTTCAAAAATGCCGCTGGCGGCCTCTTTGGGGCTTCTGAACACGAACCCTACCTCGTCGGAAGAAACGGAGCGCACCTCCAGCAATTCCTCGTCACAGATGCTCTCGGCAGCTCTGTCCAATATCCAGTTAGGCACCTACCTGGACCGTTCTCCCGCGACAGCACGGTTGGTCATGCAATCACCATGCTTCTTCCATCAGCGTTTCGATGACGCCGTCAATATCCAGAAAGTATTGGAGGAGATTGCGGACGACGAGTGGCTATCGCACTCCCGTCTGGTACAGACAGCGACAGGCGTCCGAGAAGTGTCGAAGCAATTGCAGCGAAGACCAATCAAACGCGCTGTCAAGAATGTTATGATCGTCACCAAGGCGCGGGATAACAGTCTGGTGCATCTGACCCGCGAATTGGCGGAGTGGCTTCTCTCCACCCCTCGCTACGGCAACGATCTGGGTGTGAATGTCTACGTAGACGCTAAACTTCGCAACTCACGAAGATTCAATGCACAGGGGCTTCTGGACAAGGAGCCCCGGTTTGAGGAGATGTTACACTACTGGACTCCGGATCTCTGCTGGACAGCCCCTGAGAAATTCGATTTGGTCCTCACATTAGGAGGGGACGGGACCGTGCTTTTCACATCCTGGCTCTTCCAACGCATTGTCCCACCGGTCCTCTGCTTTTCCCTAGGGAGCTTAGGGTTCCTGACGAATTTCGAATTTGAGAATTACATGTCTCACTTGAATGCAGTCATGGGTGATGTAGGGATGCGAGTGAACCTGCGGATGCGCTTCACCTGTACGGTCTTCCGTAAAGACCGCAGCAAGGGCGCCGAGGCGGGTGCCGTGGAGGAAGGGGAACAGTTCGAGGTGTTGAACGAGCTCGTGATTGATCGCGGGCCGTCACCATACGTGTCAAACCTTGAATTGTACGCAGACAATGATCTGCTCACCGTGGTGCAAGCGGACGGGTGCATTTTCTCTACTCCTACCGGTACGTGTGACGCGCAAAACAGACTGATTTGATCGCCGACTGACATGTGGTTCCAGGTTCCACGGCATACTCTCTTTCCGCTGGCGGTTCCTTGATTCACCCCTCTATTCCCGGCATTCTTCTAACCCCCATCTGTCCCCATACACTTTCCTTCCGTCCCATGGTTCTCTCCGATACCCTGCTCCTTCGTATTGCCGTTCCGGCCGGGTCCCGGTCGACCGCGTACTGCTCGTTCGATGGGAAGGGTCGTGTGGAACTGCGCCAAGGCGACTATGTTACCGTCGAAGCAAGTCAATACCCCTTCCCGACCGTCGTGGCGGGTAGCGGAGAGTGGTTCCAGAGCGTTCAGCGAGCGCTGCGATGGAATACACGCGGTGCCGTACAAAAGAGCTGGCACAGCTCTTCCGATGCCGGCCTCGAAGCCACCGAGGATGACGAAGACACGGAGTGGGACATCGATACCGATGCCGGGTTAACTGGCACGGACAGTGGCTTGGGGGTCAGCGAAGACGGCGATGCAGGGTCTATCAGTCCTTTGAAGCGGCAAATGAGCATGTTCAGCACCTAAGCCGATCATTGTTCCGGATGCCGTCCTCCCCATTCTCACCCACCCCATTCTTCTGGGGTAATGCTTAAGTTTTCTTCTATTGTTCCCGTCCTTTCGGATACACCTTTTATATTGTTTATTCCACGGGCGACCCTGGTTGGCGCACGCGCATCCTTTTCTCGTTCCATGGAACAGCGGCACACATACACTTTCGTTTTCTTTATTTGGGATACAGCGACGCCTGATAGACATTTTTGGATACATGTTTGGTTGCCATAGCGGGCCTTGACTTAGACGCTATATTTGGTTTACTATCTTGGGAAGACACATTCGGGTCGGTGAGACCCCAGCGATGCACAGGCGTTAGACGGTTACATTTGGCACACTCGTTGCGATGATAGAAACTGAAGAACAGAATACCCAGGATCATGCAACCTCGCACTGGGAATATACAAGCCATCATGATTACCATTTCCATCATTACTCAACCTACTTAATCTATATATCATAAAACCATACCAAAATTATCATACCCATAACGACTAATCTATAGACACATCACACCAAACTACTAGGTAGTAATTACCAATCACAGCACTCCGCCAACAACGCAGCCAACTCCTCCAAATACTTCTTATCCTCATCATCAAACCCATTGGGCTCCGCACAATCAATATCGATAATCGCAACAGTCTGCTCACGTCCACATCAGCCATCCACCTCCTCAACAAACCACCAGATATTCAGAAGATACTCACCTCCCCCTTACTCAAAATCGGCACCACAATTTCACTCCGACTGCTCGCATCGCAAGCAATATGCCCCGGGAAGTTCTCCACATCCGGCACGACGACCGTCTCGCGCTTCTCCGCCGCCGTTCCACACACGCCCCGTCCGAAGCGAATCTCCTGGCATGCCGGACGGCCCTGGAATGGACCGAGAAGGAGGACGGGCTTCTTGTTGCTGTCCTCTTCGGAGGGTGGTGCGCCGCCGAGGACGGGGAACTTGTCCTGGCGGATGTAGAAGCCGGCCCAGTTGACGGAGGAGGAGGGGGCGGGGAGAGCGGCGTAGGCGTGCCAGAGGAGGGAGGCGACGTTGGAGAAGTTGCTGTTGGGTTGGGTTGGAGAGGGTTAGATTTGGGTGAAAGTGGGCGCGATAGTTGGGGCTTAGGTTGTGTTCTTACCTGACCTGTTCGTGGTGGGGGGTAAGTGGTTAGCTGGTGACTTGGAAACGGGGGGGAATAGGGGGGTTAGGATAGGAGGAGAAAGTCGTACCCAATTGCGCTGGTCGTATACCAAACCACGAGCTTGCTCTAGGACCTGAGTGTAGACTTCGGATTTGGAGCCATTGCCGGCGCCGAAGTAAGAGGAGTCTGCGTGAGGCTGGTGGGGGTGTTAGTGTATGCTAGTATCTAATTCAAGGGATCAATTGCCACAGATGGCAAACGAGGTTATCAAACTATACCATTGTAATATGGTAATATGCAGTCTTCGAATTAAGCGATGAAGTCGATTGAGAATGGGGGAGTGGATGGATGACGCGAAAGGAAAGCAAAGCAGCGATGCGAAAAATCAAAGTGGGGTTCCTCATCTCCGCACGAGATTCTGCGATCGTCATCCGCCGTCCCCTCATCGCCATTCATCATCCACCCATCCACCCATCCCGGTTCCATAAGAGACAACCATTATCCATGAATAATCAAATCACAACTCAGTCAGTCAATCAATCAATGATAAAGTCTCAAACCCTGTCATGCTGGACCTTTCGCTTGGCTGCAGCTGTGGAGCTTTTTCCCCCATCGCATGCAACTGCTTTTTTGGGTCCAGTTCCGATAAGAACTACTGCCCTTGGCTAGCTTCAACTAGCAGCAAACTATAATAACTTCCTCGGATCGTCCTGTCATCCACGCTGCTCTCTCTCTCTCTCCACTATGGGTCGTCCATACTTGCTCAACTGGTCTTTGTCTGGCAGTTAGATAGACATCATGTATTATCTCATTGTAGCTGCTTCGCTACTTGTTATCCCAGTCTACGCTAGGGATATCGTCTTCCCTCCTGGCGCAGCCATCCATAATCCCTCCCATCAGTATCCACTCGCTCACGAAGACCCCATTGACATCGTCACTGGTAGCCAATTCTCCGGTCTGACTACTTTCGCCAATCTGCCCTACCTCAATTGCTTCGTGGATGATGAATCAACCACCAATAACTATGACATTGCTTTCCTCGGCGCTCCCTTCGACACTGTTAGCCGTCCCTCCTCTTCCTTCACCTTGCCATCGATCGCAACTAATAGACACATACGTAGGGCGTCACAGCTCGCCCCGGAGCTCGATTCGGTCCCAAAGGTATTCGACTCGGCTCTCGTCGTCTCGGCGGGTGGAGCATCTACACAGGAGAAAATGCCTTTGCCAGCTGGGCGAAGCTTGTTGACTGCGGCGACGCCCCATTGACCTGGTTGGATAATACCGTGGCGTTGAAGCAGCTTGATATGGCACATAAGGTATACGAAATTACATTTCAGGATTAGTGCGCAATTAATGACGGGGTGTATAGGTCGTCTCGTCTCGTCGCGCCAATTCCACGCATCTGAGCCAAATCCCCCGTATCATTACCCTAGGTGGAGACCATACTACGACCTTGTCGGCGCTGCGGTCGACGTATGAGAATTGGGGTCCTGTTTCCGTGATTCATTTTGATAGCCATATCGGTATGCGAATTCCACCCCTCATGTGATATACATGTATAACAACGCTAATAGAATGTTTTCAGATACATGGGACCCCAAAGTGCTCGGTATGCCAAGTCTCTCCCAGCTTTACTGTTATATCTAACTAACAAATGTTCTATACAGGCGGTGGAGTCTCCCACTATGCGTATGCCAGCCATCCCCAATAAACCCCATCATACTAACACCTACCCCTATACAGCGGCGTCAACCACGGCACGTTCCTCCACCTCGCCCACGAAGAGGTACATAACCAACCATCCCTCACCACCTACCTCACCCTCCCCCCACCCCAACAACAAACTAAAAATCAAGTAGGGCCTAATCCGCAACACCTCCATCCACGTCGGAATCCGCGCCCCCGTAGTCCGACCCAAAGGCGACATCCGCAACGACCTCCGCTGCGGCTTCGAAATCATCACCGCCCGTGACCTCGACCGACTCGGAGTCTCCGGCCTCGTAGAACAAATCAAATCCCGCGTTGGGGACAGCCGAGTCTATATCTCCGTTGATATTGATGTGCTGGATCCGGCTTATGCACCTGGTAAATCCACCCCAGCTTCCCCTTTACTATGAGGGGACAATAGAGAGAGGCTGATGAGAATTTCTAGCAACCGGCACTGCGGAACCAGGTGGATTCACTACGCGCGAACTCCTGACTATTCTTGACGCGCTGCGAGGGATGCCTGTTATCGGCGCGGACGTGGTAGAAGTAGCTCCGATATATGATACAGCCGGGGAGACGACCACGCTTGCGGCGGCAGAGGTGGCTAACTCATTGTTGGCGTTGATGGTTGCGAGGCCGGTTGGGGGTGATGAGTAACCTCTTGTGTTTTTTCCAGGTTATTAGGTATTCTTTATGAATCCTTGTGTAAGTATGCATCTAGTGTTCATATAATAAGGTCTGTATGTACATGAATGGGTATAACGCGTACTTATATTCTGCACATAATCTACATACAAGAGAAACCATACCAGAGGATGATATCATTTCATCCCCTCTTCTCCATCTCAACTTCCTTCTCCTCGTTCAACTCAACCACTTTCCCCTCCGTAACCCTACCCCCATTTCCATCCCACGCCCCTGGGCCAGTGAAATGCTTCCGCCCTGTCACTACCCACGTCGCCACACTAATCACTCCAATTACTCCAATCGCAGCACTGGTATAGTTCATCGAGTCCTTCGTCACCGGATAAGACTCCGGGAAGTTGAACGTGATGGACGCGAAAAGCAGGAACAACAGGCCCAGCACGTTCAGACTAATCGACATTGAGGTGGGGAGGGCGAATGGACCTGTAAGGGTTCGTCGGTGGTTGGTTACGTAGCCTAGGAGACGACTTCCGAGGGCCATGGCGTAGGAGAGATCTATTTTTGCTGTTAGCAATGGTTGTTCTCTGTTTGACTTTAGGAGGGATAAATGGGGGAGACGTACAGAAACCCTCAGTGGAAATAGCAATGACGGTCTCAAAGCCCGTCGAGGTGCCAAAGTCAATTGCATCCAGGGCGAGCTGAACGATCAATGTGAGTAAAACTGCATTGATAGGAACCTGACGCTTTTTGTCAACTTTAGCGAGGAATTGGCTGAACGGGAGACCGTTGTCGCGGGCGAAGGCGTAGACGCAGCGAGAGCCCTCGGCGAGGATGTTGTTCCCTGCGACAATGACGATCACGGCAATCATACTGGCTAGGAAGCAGGCTGCTACTTTGCTACCGGTGGAGTCGTAGAAGATCTGGATGACGGGGACTCCGGTAGGGGAGTTCTGAGTGGTGGTGATATCACCGATGCAGAAGCAGAGGACTAGAAGGAAGGCAAAGCCGGTGATGGCGCCGAGGACAACTGACATTATGATGGCTTGTGGTGCTTGTTTCGAGGCGGATTTCATCTCCTCGGTCATGTGGGACGGGGCGTCGTAGCAGCACATCCCGAAGCAGGCTTGTAGGATGCCTACGATGGCGGCCATGGCTCGGTCCCAGCCGGTGAAGTTTTGGAATTCGACAAAGACAAATGATGCAGATTGCTTGTGGTCGTTTGTGGCGAGCAGGACGACGACGGTGATGAAGAAGGCGGTGATGTTCCAGATAAGAATGAAGCGGGAGATCCGGTTTAGTAGATGCGGGCCCCAGATGTTGATGGCAGCAGCGAGGATCGCCACGAGGTAGGCTACTAAGACGGTTTGCCAACGCAGGATCTCGTAGGATGGGAAGACGAGATTCGCCATTCCGAGTACGAATTGTGCGGCAATGGAGTTGTTGGTTGCGCCCATGGCGAGCAGTCCTAAGGGGTTCTGGTGAGTCCCGCTCTGCGCTTACAATGGGTGTATTGTTGTTGGGTCATACCTATCAGCATGAACCATCCGGTTATGTATGATAATTGGCGGGAGATCTTTGGGGGAGCCAAGGCAGCCACCCACGAGTATTGACCTCCAGCCACTGGATACATCGAACACATTTCAGCCATGGGAATGGCGACGGCTAAGGTGAGAAGGCTGACACCGATGAAACTGAAGACCATAACCGGGGGACCTCCCGACGTGACGCCAACAATGAAGACACCACTTAATGCGGTCCATCTTGAGACAGAGTCAGCATGATATGCTCTATATCTCCCAGCGAATGACTTACGAGGTGACGACGCTGAAACTGAAGCCGATCATACCCAGGAGGCCGAATGACCGTTTGAGCTCTACGGACGTCAACACAATTCCACACGCCTAATTTGGCTGACATACCCTGCTCATAGCCCAAATGCTCCAGCCGAACATCCTCTCCTGTCGTAGAAGGGCCCACAGGCTGGATCTCATCTTCTGATATCGCCATTGTTGGGGCAAGGTTGGGAATACAAAGACACGTCTACAATTGAGTTCACCGTGGCCGCCGCCACCAGTTGGGGTATTTATTGCCATGCTACAGGAGGGGGATGAGCGCCTCGGACCATGAGCGATAGGGTCATAGATGCATTCTGCAGGCATCGAGGAACCGGGGAAGCGATAGCCGGGGTAGCGATAAGATAAGCCGACAGCGAGCATTGCCAGATCGAGAAGGTCTGCGCGATGGCCGGTGGAGCACATTTGCCCAGAAAAAGCTGGGGAGACCACAGATGAGACAGCACGAGCAGCTGTCTCCAGTCATGTCGATTTGTCATAAGCCATCCCGAGTTGATAAGCTTATCGAATGCAACTGGGATAATGGGCTGTGAGTAATAAGGATTTGTGCCGTGGGAAATTTCGGAATGTCATTGTGTCGATTGGAGGATGTAGTTTGAAGTCAAATTTAGTTGCAGGTGGGAATGTTGGTAAAGAAAAGGGAAGGACGACGAGATATGGACATGTGACCCTTCAGCCTCATCCTCTCTTTCGGTCTTTCTGTTCTCTCCCTCTGTCTTTTTCAATTGTATGTCCTGCCCTTCGCTTCCCATGCCCCAGACATGTCAACTCACCAGCCCATGAGTTTGGGTCCAGATTGATCAGAACCATGCCATTGAAGGTTAGTGATCAGTTAACCATGTCCTATAGTCGCAATCGAAAGTTTATGAAATGTCCAGGTAGAACATTAAGGCAGACTTGAGCGATTGAACTTATTGACGAGCTTCTCACTCTCTGAGGACCGGAGCCCCCTTATGATATATTCCGGGACGGCATGAGAAACTTAAAACGACTCTCGCATCCGACGGATCAACGACGCGTCACTCGTGGCCACAAACCGCAAATACACTCCTACAGCTAATTAATCGTACCCTATACGAAATACGCAATATACGGCGGCAGACATGTCTATATAAGAAAGCCGCGGCATTTCCCATGGTCCCCTGACCCCACACAACCCGCCGAATACGCAAATACGACAAACGGTCCGGTCGGTTGCCCCGTACCACAGCACAGTATCCGAACCCTTACGCTCTTGCCTATACGCACCCACAGAATAGTCTCTCGAGGCGAAACGGTTGCCTGCGTTCCAGCGGTCAGACCATGCGGATATGGCTGTCAAGGCCCGGACTATAAAGGGCATGGATGTCCCCTGACCATTACCAACAAGAGCATCGAACTGAGAGCCCAACAATCACCATGTCCATCAACCTCACCGGAAAAACCTGCCTCGTTACCGGTGGTGCCGGGGGCCTAGGCAAAGCTATCGCTACCCGGTTCTTCGCCGCCGGAGCCAACGTGGTCATCTGCGATGTCAACGAGGAGCGACTTCGTCAGACGTCGCTGGATCTTGCCGGACCCAGCGGCGACGCAAGACTCAAGGTCATCAAGACAGACATCACCTCAGCGACAGAGGTGCAAGCCCTGTTCGACGAAATCGTCGCGCAATTCCAGAAGCTCGATATCCTCATCAACAATGCCGGAATCATGGATGAATTCGATGCTGTCGGTGACCTGGACGAGAAGCTGTGGGACAAGGTCATGGCTGTGAATCTGACTGCGCCTTTTCTGCTGAGCAAATTGGCTGTTCGGAATATGCTTGCCCAGGAGGTTGTCAACGGAAGTATCGTCAACATCGTCTCCATTGCAGGAAAGGCGGGTTGGATGGCGGGTATGTTTTCTACCGAATGATTCCCGATGTCTGGATAGATTGACTGACAAGTGACAGGTGCCGCATACACCGCTAGTAAGCACGGCCTCGTTGGCTTGACCAAGAACACGGCTTCCTACTACGGCAACAAGGGCATCCGATGCAATGCGCTGATGATGGGCGGCATGGAGACGAACATCACGGATGCATTCATGTCCAACATCAACCTGGAAGGAAAGGACAAGGCCGTTGCTCTCATGACTGCTGCTGCAGCACCGATGTGCGATATCACCCGCGTTGCTGAGCTGTGTCTGTCTATCTCGTGTGGTCCTGGTGCAGAGATCATCAACGGGACATGTATCCCGATTGATCATGGAATGTCGGGAGTGTTGGGTTGATTCTGCGGCTTATATAGATAGCTTTTAGCCGACTGTATATTTTCTCTTCAATGTAAATACTTTACTCCCACTAACCCCTCCATCTCACCAAAACATCAATAAACAATGTTAGTAGTCTTCGCCCGGATCTCCCCTCCCCGTCTCCATTAAGGGCAATACCCTTATTCCTCCACAACCCTAACCTCATCCCAACACCCATTAACAGGCTAAATAACATATCGAGAATTGGCAATTGGTAATGACAATGTGGCACCTCACGTTATATCGGAGAAGATGGCTTTCCCATAATGCAGACAAGACTTTGAATCATGGCCATGAGACAGACTACTTGGTGGGTGTTGTATGTGGGAATGGACTTTGACTTGTTTGGATTTGGTAATAAGAGACACGGTAGTGGTTTTGCAAGATACATTGACTACTGTATCTTGTCCTCCGCTACTAAAGAGATATTTCTCAAAGTGTACCTAGAAGGAAAGAAGAATTTCCCCCACCCCCAAAGACACACATTATTGGCTTACCCGTGGATATAGAAATCCTGGCAAGGTACTTAGTACTTAGTAGTAGTAGTAGTAGTAGTAGTAGTAGTAGTAGTAGTAGTAGTAGTAGTAGTAGTAGTAGTAGTAGTAGTAGTAGTAGTAGTAGTATTGGTTGGTCACCAGCCGGGTAATACGCGACCAGCGACCAGTCATGTTTTATTTCAATACATCGAGCAAAGGTCCCTGCAAAGGATATCCTTCAACAGGGTCGGGGTATATGGGATATCCGAGCAACGAGCATTTTGGACGTCGATTACAAATACGGTATTCCACGCATCGGTCCAGATATGGCGCGGACGTTCTCCGAGCTGTGTTGCTGTAGGCTGCTACTCCGGACATAGTGAGACTTAGATAGTTTTGTCCGCTGTTGAGGAGTCGGGATATTACTTGGCAGCTTCGATATATTGTTGTTTTACCGGGATCGCTTGTCAGGGTTTGGAGCAATGTCCTCAGTATTAACCGAGAGGATGCTATCAGCTCTAGATGATTCACACACCTCGATTAAAGACCACCTGTATGTTGAGTGATCGTCGTCTTTTTACATGTATGTACTCTAGCACGGACGTATAATGTCTGGTCATCACCGCCGCGTATCGTTTGATTGGCTGTAGCTCAGTCAAGCTATTATTGTCTGAGCGCCAAAGCTGCCGATTCCAAGCGCAGTCAGGTCGAAGCAAAGCTATCGGGTCCGAAATTGAAGCAGTGATTGGTCAAAGATAGGTGGCTTGTGGTATCCGACGCTACCCTCGCTCGAAATCAGGGCATCCGGAAGATGTTGGTTCGGGAATTGGAGTGGTGTGCCTACAGCCGAGTTGGTGTCAGGTGTCCCGTAGGTGTGGCTGTTCTAGTTGGCATGCTCATATTTAGGTTCTGACTGTAAGAATCCAGACCAAGACATCCACATCATGCCCGGGCCTTGTCTGGGGGCTATACATGGCCGGGCCGTTTTCGAATGAGTCAACGAGGCTTTGCGATAATCCACCAAGTGGATTCATAATATACCGTTTCATAAGGTGATGGTAAATCGCTCACACAATGTACTGAACTTCCAGATCCTGCTCGGGACAGATGCATTACGGCTGCATACGCACAGACTCGGCCCTGGCAGCTCCCATGAAAGCTTCTGCACTCACTGTTGGATGCCGCTATGTCGGAGTCTATACTAGTGTCGGAGGGACATTCCCAGCCATGGATCCAGACCACGCTCGGAGATAGGGATGGGTTTGGTATCAACGGCTGTTCGTCCCCAAGTCGCACCCGGCATCGTTTGCTCAGGACGTTAGGACGCCGCCAGGTGTTTCGGTTTCATAAAGACCAGCTTCCTTTTTCAGACTTTTGACGTCAATGCTAACCAATAAGCAAGTCAGGACATGACTTTAATATCGATAGATGGGAGGGGCGACCGTAGCACGGGATACGTTGTCTTGGACGCGCACGTTGTCTAGCATAGCCCCCATCCAAAATTGATGCCAAATCCAAGAAAGGCAATAGAAGAGAAGAGGGGAAGGTGTGACGAGCAACAAGTGACAGAGGAGGTGAAGCACCAGCGCGGCCTAGGTAGTCAGCCCTGCAGGGGTTATTCCAGTCACAGTGGATGGTGGGGTTATTGATTGATTGAATCAGCCATTGTGACGCGTGATTGATCTGCATCCCAGTCACCACCACCAGTCTGTAACTAAATATGTAGCTGGCTCGAGGGCAACGGACAAATCAGCTCGAGTCGATCTGCCGGGGGGGCAACGTTGCGTCTGACGAAGCCTACCCTCCAGACCCGCGAGCAAATAAATTTCGTCAGGACATCCTGGTGTAAGATCTATTGCTGGTGCCTGCGCCATGGATCGAGGGTTTATCCGGCAGGGCGGGACAATGAGCCTTCACGGACCGGACACGAAAGTATACGGCAACAGAGATTATTGGGCAGACTGTAAAGACAGACTGGCTAGCAAATAATATCCTGTAGAGCAAATGGAGCCCACATGAACTGTAGTATCTTCACGGCTGTTTCCCTGCCTTAGGAACACCGCGTTTGCCACTCTGGGAATCGAGTTCCACCCAACATCATTGGATCCTGAAACGGCCGAAATCACAAAGCGAAAAGGTCAATGCAAAGTAGACCCCAAGTAGCCAGGCAGATCCGATCATGAATCCAGACGTGTCGCTGGTAAAATTTTGGGGCGGGGCATTTGGTCGAGCGAGTGTGATGGAGGGGAGACTAGAGGTAGTCGTCTGATCGCTCAGCACGGCGTGAATGACGCTCTCGCCCTCTCACATTCTTTGTGATGGTTTTCAGCCATCTTGAATGGCACTAAATCGACAAGTGTTGATGCTAAACAGCATGGTGGGTAGACCATCCTAGACCGTCCTATCTAGACAATGTTTGAATTTTCTCGGTTGTTGTGGCCTGGACCGATCGAAGGGGTGGACTGGAAGGATGAAAAAAGTTCCCAGCCCTAGTTTCTGCTCTCCGCAGTTCGAAGGGGGATGGCCAGGGCGCTCTGTGACACCGGCAGCTGCAGATCGACTGTGCGTAGAGAGTCGTTTGGGTCTGGGGTTACAACGCGCTACTGGGTGGATGACTCGCAGCAATAGTATTCTTCTCCAGCTAGCAGCAATTAATCCCTGATAGCGTCTCGATAGTGTCGCCATCCCCTCCAGACCGATAGCCAGTCTCCGTTCAGTATTCATTCCCACCAGCTTCGACAGAAAAATCCGGGCAACAATGGACTCACTTGGGGGGAGGGGGAGTGTCTCGCTCGGATTCCGTCTAAGCCCAGGCGATCCTGGCTTTGTCCGTTATTCTCGAGCGTATTGTTATAGTAGAAGTGTGCTCTGACTCCATGGTGCCTTTGCGATGGTAGCCGGCCGGGTCACCCGAGTTTCCCGCGTGTGGTTACAACAGGTTTCATCGGCTGAACAGGGGTATCAGGCGGAGGGAAGTGTTGCTGAGGAGCCTGGAGGTGAATATAAACAACCACAGAGTCCATGCCAGAGGAGAGGAGATGATATCTGGCGGTCGTCTTTTTTGATGTTGTACAAACTTCATTCTTTGTCCGAATCCATCTGCTTATTATTTCTCCGAGTGTACGGAGTAGTTACCTCTACTTCTTCTTTTCTTTTCTCGCCTTTCTTTTTATGGGGCGGCTGATAGGTGAGTGACATCGTTCACTTCTCGAACGGGGTTACTCATAGCTAGACTAGCAACTATCCATTACTCCCTGTTCATCCATCTGCATGACAAGGACCAAGGCATAATTCCTTTGGTGTCTCCTACTGGATTCCAAACAGACCTGCCAAGAACGTGCTGGTTAAACCATCCACTCGCTGGCATTTACCTGCCTTGGACTCCTTCCATTAACCTTGCAACGTGACCTGCCGGATAATCATTATCTTGCTATATCATTGTCACCGTCTGCATTCTTGCCTTGTTTGGCTAGGTTTCATTCCTCGTTCTCTTGCTGTTTTCTCCTCCTCCCATCAGCGTGACCGCTTTCCCTCCCACTGGCGGTAAGTTACTAGTACGTACTTACTAGCCCCGATCACGACTAGTGCCCGTCGGTTCCTCAGGAACCAATCACCCCTCCTTCCCGTCGTGGAATACGATAGTCGACACTCGTCTTGATTGTCTGTGCGGCCTATAGAGACAACATTGCAGTTTGGAGGGTGTGGTGAGAAGGAGGCTGCTTCTATGTGAGTGGATGGTTTCTCCTCTCTTTTCTTCTTCTTTTTGCCTCCCCAACGTACTATCACCTCAGATCGTCACCCTCTTACATCTACACTTTTGGCATCTTTTCTTTTTTCTTTTCTCTTGTTGCAGCAGAGTGGAGTGGAGCCCGGATGAGCGGTAACCATACCGTACCGTACCGTGGGAGCTCCGCTTTGCCCCTCTCTCTCCAGGCTTTGGATCCCGCGTCTCCCGCCATGACGCCATGGGTTCGGCTGCTGTTTGTGACGGTTTTGAGTTTCCCCGCAAGCTGACGATCCATTAGAATTTCTTAGTCTGGAGGAGAAAAGAAAAAAACAGAAATTTGGCTCAGGACAAAGTAGAGTTCGGGATCAAAACAGAGGAGAAAAGGGACAAAAAAAGAGAGAGGTTAAAGACGGCAGTATCAAGAGTGAGGCAAGACCGAAAGAGGGGAGTTGCATGATTTTTCCCCTGAGTCATAGTATCACGGCGACGGCGGCATCCGCGGAGGAGAGACACAGTTGTACCTGTCACTGTCAGGGAGAACTGGAAGTCATCCGGGGGTGCCTGGATTGGCATCGTCCCATCCGGCTTATCCACTTACGGTGCTGACAACTGGGGACCTGAAAAAAGAGGGTAACAAAAAAAAACAAGGGCCAACAGACAAAGCAAAAGGAAAGACAGAGAAAGAGAGAAAAAAAAAAAAATAATCATTCATAAGGGAAAGGGAACCCCCCCTCCCGTCAATGGCTACCTCTCCACCCTCTTCTTCTCCGTCCGCCTCATTCTCCTCGCCTTCCCTGTATCCTTCCTCACACAGTTCCTGCCACTCTCCGCCATTGCTCAGCAGTAAGTCTCAAGTCTCCTCTCCTTCTGCAATCACCCAGTTCATCTGCCTTCCCCCCTCCATTAAACCTTCCGTCCAACCATGCCTCTTTGCCTTCCCCACTCCTCTCAGGCAGATCTCACCCTGCCCTCCTCCCAACGTCAACATCCTGATTGGCCCCTCTGCATTCTTCTTACTTTTTAGCCTTCTTTGCCTGGTCAAAGTCTTGCTTTGCTGTTGCGGTTTCAGTTGTTGGCACTGATCCAAAAAACTGATCCCCACCTGACACGTGTGGCATCTACCTCTGCACATTCCCAATGATTCATGCTGATCGCGTGCTGCCACTAGCCAATCTCTCTTCCTCCTCCTGGTCGCCCTCCTATCGGCCGTCGAGCTTCTGTGCCCGAGACCAGTTAGAAAGTCTCATTGCCAGACACGGTCACCCCACCCGAGTTTCGCTGTCATCGCTCCAGGAGTTAACCGCAACCTCATCTACATATAACCCGCCTTCCCCCGACTCGTCGACCTCAGACACATCAGACTCCCTCGAGACCCTCACTCTCACCCAGTCAACCTCCCGGCCCATTCCCATCCCCAAGCCGTCTCCCACCCTCCGCGATAAAGACTTTCCCGTCACCCCTCTAACAGGGCGTTTTGATAAAGGCTATTATTTTGCTCACCGTGACCATACCCCCGAGGGGCAGCGAGAAAGGGAAATCCATCGCAAGACCAGTCGACCTGGTCATCACCATCCTCATCGTTCACCCTCGTCCAGAATGCGTTCTGACAGCTCAACTTTCTACCCGTCCGCCATCTCCCCCGCCATGTCTCCAGCTGGCCGCCCCTCCTCCCCGCAGCCCTCTCGCTCGCAGGGCCAAAGCACCTCCAAGTCCATGCCGGCCTTCCACTTGGGAAGCTTGCCGCGATTCCATCCTGCAGTCTATCAGTCTTCAGGCAGCACTCAAGCACAGCCTTCTTCACCACGCCAGCCTCGACAGCACGGGTATCGCACGTCTTCGGGCTCCCGTGATGGTATGTGGCAGTATCGAGACTTTGTGGATGGGGCTGCCCTGCCCAAGACTCCTGGAACCTTATCGCCGGGACCATCCGCTCCGCGACTGGACCCTCTTCGCAGCCCTGGCCCGGTAACCCCGCTGGCGCTGGAAGAGGCCGGTGGCTATCTGACCTCGGGCCCCTCTAGCTCCTCCGACTTTTCCTCTCGAGAGCACTCTGGGCCGGCCCCAGATATGGTGGACAGGCTCATTGCTCGGGAGACCGAACGGAACCGACAGAAAGCCATGAAGCCTCTCAAAGGCTTCTAGAGCTGTCGTCCAGCCATCAGCGGCAACCGTCCTCTTGCATCTGGTTGTCAGCACAGTCATGTACTAGGACCTGACTCAGACCTCGGACTTCGGACTCCGGGTCACATTGAGTGCCATCGGTGGCCTGCAGGACAGCATCGATTGTGTGCTCAATGCATGATATGATTTGACTCTCTTTCGAGGCCATTCGTGCCAATTGTTTTCTTTTCTTCTTTTCACATTTCCATAAAACCACATCTATGTATTATGAAATTATGCAACTATACCCCGCAGCTGATCCGTGGGCTTTCCCGGATCTTTGTATTTCCTGTCCTGTTCTGCTATTCTTCCCACTGGGGTCGACGCTCCCTTGTTTCCAGAACTGTGTATTGCGCCTTTTCATTTCTTACGCCACTGTGTTATTTCGGGCATTGTATCATCATGGATTGAACAGAAACAGCCTGTCATCCTTGAGTTGGGACTGGAATGCGACGTTTCGCTCAGATTGTTATATACTAAGAAGTCGGTCAAAGAAAGCGACAAGCAGTATAGAAGACGTGGGAGGTGTGTCATTGCTAGTTGCGAAATAGGCAATGAACTTACTGGGTTCGATCAACCTTCAGAAAAAGCAATAGAACACAACACATGGTTGATGTCGCACTGACCTGCCGACTGCTCATCAAGTGCAATTGTAGATGATTACTACGTATCTAGTGGCCACTACTCTGTACTACTAGTCTATACTAGTCGCAATGGATTGGAGCAACGTGAGTGGCTCCCCCAACCCATTTGCCCCCCCGATCGGCCGCCTATCCGGTCGGAGCTGGGCTGCTGCTCCCCGAACCGCCGGGTTTTGCGGGGCGCATCATCTTCTTGCTCTGCTTGTTCCTCTTCCCCCGTCTTTCGCCTTTTACTCCGCCGGGGCATCTTTTTCTCTCCTACAACTGCCCATCATCTACATGCCTTGAGAACTATTCCCCTCATTCCTTATTATTGTCAGAAGTGGTGGCTCTCAACCATCAATGGACCTCTCGTGCGCTCGTTAATCCCACCCATTCACTGTCCGATAGCGGACCCCGACAGACCTTCACGAATTTTTGATCCTCGGTCCAACGCAGCCGAATTCCAATTGACACTCCTACACAGCCTTGAACAGACGAAGCAACAATACCGGATTCTGCGACACACGAGCACTGCACTGTCGACAATGTCGTCGACGTCCGCACCGCTGCCGACCTCAACATCCGGTATACCAGACCAACGTTCTTCCGGGAACATGACCGAGGCCGATACACCAAAGCACAGTCCGCCAAAGCCCCAAAGTTCGAAGCATGACTATAAAGGCTTTGTAGCAGGAGTCTTTTCCGGAATTGCCAAATTAAGTGGTATGTCCCTGCCAGCGCTGAGCATAGACCGCGAGCTTTCGTCTCGTCTTGAAGTGACTATCGCTAACAGATTCTGATTCATAGTTGGCCATCCGTACGTGATCACGCATCTACTACCTCTTCCCTACCACTTATACCACCTCTCTATGGACAATCCCCTATAATGTCACAAATTGACCATGGATGAATTTCGCAGGTTCGACACAATCAAGGTGCGCTTACAGACGAGCCATGATGGGCATTTCCGGGGTCCATTGGACTGCGTGCTACAAACAGTCCGCAAGGAGGGTGTTAGTGGGTTTTATAAGGGAGCCACTCCGCCGCTGGTCGGTTGGATGGTCATGGACTCTGTGTGAGTAGCGTTGCCCGGCGGCTAGAAATTGATCAAAAAGACACAGAAGGACTGATGGGTCAAACACAGTATGCTGGGTTCCCTAACCTTGTATCGCCGACTGTTACTGGAAAACGTGTTTTCAAAACCGGAGATTCGTGCAAGCATGCCGTTCATTGGCAAGCAGACGGATCTTCACACGCTCCCTAGCTTCGGTCACGGTATTGCAGGCATTATGGCCGGAACGACAGTCAGTTTCATTGCCGCACCGGTGGAACACGTCAAGGCGCGTCTTCAGATCCAGTACTCTGCGGATAAATACAAACGTCTGTACAGTGGACCTATAGATTGCGTTCGCAAGATGGTAAGAAAGACGCACCTTCAAAGCGTCCGAGTTTGTTGGTTGACTCGATATTTATAGCTTCGCACCCACGGCATTGCTGGATTATATCGTGGACTTTGCGCGACCATGGTATTTCGGTCGTTCTTCTTCTTCTGGTGGGGTTCCTACGACGTCCTGACCCGGTTGATGAAGGAGAAGACCAGCATGTCTGCCCCTGCCATCAACTTCTGGGCCGGGGGGATTTCCGCGCAAATTTTCTGGATCACGTCGTATCCGTCTGATGTGGTGAAGCAACGCCTCATGACGGACCCGATGGGAGGCGCACTGGGCGACGGGCAGCGCAAGTTCCAGTGGTGGAAGGATGCTGCAGTGGCAGTCTATCGGGAACGAGGGTGGAGAGGATACTGGCGAGGATTTGTGCCATGCTTCTTACGAGCATTCCCGGCGAATGCTATGGCTTTGGTTGCATTTGAGGGTGTGATGCGGTGGCTGCCGTGAGGCGACGATGAAGCTACAGAACTCTCGGTATACCCGAACGAGCACGATGAACGGGACTCCAGTCGATCCCGAACAAAAGCTACGTTGTAATGTGATAGACGATAGAAATAGAATGGATTTTTCAGCCAACCCATTAAGCGGGCCCGATCGTGGCGCGTCTCACAGCAGGGATATTCATCAAATCTAGACTGGTGCAACGGCCGCATGCGGCGATGCCTTGCCCAATGCAGCCACTGCGGCATCTTCCACTACCTTGTACGATCCATGGTTCAAAATCTCTGGGAGTCTTATCTACGAAGGAATCAGGCTTGGCTAATTCAGATTGGTGAGAGGAGACGCAGAATGTTGTGGTAAGCAGGAAAGAGGAGTGAATGAGTGTGAGAGAGAGGAGAGTTCGGGCTCCGCGTGTTCTTTTTCCGGCCAGCTTCCATCTGGCCATGGTTCGTTCCATCCCGTCATCTTCAATCTGCCCTCCCTTCTCTCCCGTCTCATCCTCCGCTCATCCACCTCAAACTTCTTCATTCTACCCCTCTTTCCCTTCTACAGTCTCTTCCGCTATGTCCGGGGCCCGGATCATTCCCCTTATGATTGCTGGCTAAAGAGCTCTCTCGACTTCTCGCCGGGCCAGATCGATTCCGCCGTCGCCGCCTTATCCATTTGCGCAGCTCAACCACAACCACCACCACCTTGATTGCGGACTTCCTACTTCTCCCTCGATCAGCAAACGGCTACGATGGCCGTCGCACGCTCGATGCGTCGCACAAGCCCCATTACAGTCTTCCTGGCTGCCCTGCTAGCTTTCGGATTCCTTTGCTTCTTACTGTCCCCTTCCTCGTCCGCCGCCGCCGCTCCTGTCACCGATTCCTCCTCGCAACTACGACGAGAAGATGCCGCCGAACATCCCCTTTCTCCTCCGACGAAACCTTTCCTCAAATCTCAAGCCGTCCGTCAAGATGGCCAGAAAGCACCCCCGCCCGTGATGCACTACAACCTCAACGAGCTCAGCAGCACCAGCGAATCCATCAAGAAAGGGGAACGGGTGCTGATTTTGACCCCATTGGCCCGCTTCTACCAAGAATTCTGGGATAATGTCGTGAAATTGAGCTACCCACACGAGCTGATTTCGATCGGATTCATCGTCCCCAAAACCAAGGATGGTGATGCCGCTGTCACCGCGCTGGAACAGGCCATCAGCGAGACTCAGTCCGGTCCGGTTGACAGCCGCTTCGCCAGCATCAGCATCCTCCGTCAGGACTTCGACCCGCCCATTCAATCGCAGGACGAGAAAGAGCGCCACAAAATGTCCAACCAGAAAGCCCGTCGTGAGTCCATGAGTCGCGCCCGCAACAGCCTCCTCTTCACCACCCTCGGTCCCAGCACCTCCTGGGTACTCTGGCTCGACTCCGACATTGTCGAGACCCCGGCCAGCCTTATCCAAGACCTGACTTCCCACAACCGACCCGTGATCGTTCCGAACTGCTTCCAGCGCTACTATAACAAGGATACCAAGAAGATGGACGTCCGCCCTTACGACTTCAACTCGTGGATCGACAGTTCGACCGCCGAAGAGCTGGCGGGAATGATGGGACCAGATGAGATCCTCCTCGAGGGATACGCCGAGATGCCCACCTACCGCACCCTGATGGCCTACATGGCAAATACCGGGGCGCCCCGTCCTAGCCGCGAAATGGAACTTGACGGCGTCGGTGGAACCGCACTCCTTGTTAAGGCGGATGTGCATCGCGACGGCGCCATGTTCCCCGCCTTCCCATTCTATCACCTCGTCGAGACGGAGGGCTTCGCTAAGATGGCGAAGCGACTGGGATATTCTGTCTACGGCTTGCCTGATTACTTTGTATGTTCCCTCTTCCTTCTTTTATCCGACTGACCTCGCTAACGCTATGCCCACAGGTGTATCACTATAACGAGTGATGCGATAGATTCCAATTACGAGATGAGTTCACATGAAGCGAACACCAAACAATAGACCGGAATGAAAGAATGTATTTTGCTTTACTTTACTTTGCTTTGATTAGACTATACTAGTTAACGATCCACGTCTACTCATCTACATCTACCCGAGGAGTTAGTTTCATGTTACGTCCGCGCGCTGGGCGCTTAGTGGTTCTGGTGTTTCTGGCTGAGTAGCTGTCTCACAACTACTACTACTACTACTATATATATAGTTCCTTAGGTTTCATATCTATTTGCTATACACTACACTGGCCCATTATGTACATGCGTAGTTACTAGTAGACCGTCAATAACTTCAAAGGATGTGTAGGACTGACCCGGGCTATATTATAGACGAATTGACCCACCAATGGTATAGTAGTAGTAATCTATGAACCTCGATAATATTAAATTGTCTATTCTTTGACGGTCCACACACCATCATTATTTACTAATTCTATATCCATATGCCATCTCATCCCATCTCATCTTTCAACATGCATTCTTCTCATAGTCGTCAATCAATCGAGCTATCACATTAGACTCGTCGTCTAATCCCACGAAATGCTATTACAATCGTTAGCGATGCAAAATCACGATGCGTGGTACCAAGGGAAGAAGAAGAAGGAAGGGATAAGAGGGGGGAAAAAAACATACACAAGCATAATACCAGCCCCAACCATAACAGCCAAGAACTGCACAATGGTCTTCTTGATCTCCACGCGCTTATCCTTGCCCGTTTCCAACAGTTCCGGGATAACGGAGACGGTTCCCACGTAGAGGAATGTTCCCGCTGTGAAGGGGAGGAGCATATCGCCCCAGGTGAGACTTGTTCCGAGGAGGCCAGAGGAGGGCAGGCTACTATCGGTGATTGCTGCTGAGGAGCTATTCCCGCCGAGTTCTTGGACGGCGATTCCGATGAAAGTGCCGAGGAAGGCGCCGATGGCTGTGACGAATTGGGCACCCATGGCTTTGCGTTTCGAGAAGCCGGATTGGATGAGGAGGGCGAAGTCGCCGACCTCGTGGGGGATTTCGTGGAAGAAGACGGCGACGGTGGTGGTTGCGCCGATGGTGGGGGAGGCGTAGAAGGAGGAGGACATGGCGAGGCCGTCGGTGATGTTGTGGGTGAAGTCGGCGATTAGGTTGAGGTAGCCGCCGAGTTTGACGCTCGGGTTGATTTCCTTCTCGTCGTTGTCCTCGTTGGTGGGTTGGGGAGTGGTGGTGCTGTTGCTTGCGGGCTTGCGCTGTTTGAGCGAGGTGGAGGGTTGCGGGGAGGCACCGGTTGTGGTGCTGGTGGGTTTGTGGTCGTCGTTGTTGGCGTGGGCATGGGAGTGGTCGTGTCCTGCTCCTCCGGTGGCGATACGTAGGGTTTTGTCCATTGCGACGAAGGTGAAGAAGCCCACCATGATTCCGAGGCCTAGGAGGAGGTTGCGGTTGGGCTCGACCATCACGAAGCGGACATGGTCGGGGGAGTCTTCGCCGAGGAAGATCTCAGGGAGCAGGTGGAAGATGGTATCGCCTAGGAGGCCGCCTACGGCGAAGGCGACCATGACGGACAGGGAGGAAGGGTCGATGTTTGGAGGGCATAGGGCCAGGAGGAAGTCTAGTGCGGGGGGACATGGTTAAGGTTGTTGGAGTTTGATGCGAGAAGTCACATACTGGGTGGGCCGGAGATGTAGATCGTCGCCAGGATAGCATTGACTGCAGGGCTGCTGGGGAAGAGGATGGAGAAGATTTTGGACGTCAAGCTGGTTGTTTGGGGGGCTGCGGCGCGCTTATGCTCATTGAGGGACTCGACGAGGGGGCAGTTCTATATGGCATTAGTTGGGTATGTTGAGGGAGTCGTGGGGAGATCGATGGCCACTCTATCCCAGACAGAACATCTAGGATGCAAGGGGGCACGGGCGTACCTGCAACTCCTCCTCAATCTGTCCCACGGACATGTCTCCTACAGAGATAGCATCATGCGCAACAGCTAGTGCGGAGAAGAGAACAAGACCCGCGGCGAGCGCAAGGCCCACGCGCCGAGCCGGAGCCAGGAAAGAGGGTGCCATAGTAGCAATTGATCAATTGTAGGCTACCCCGAAAAATAACAGAAGAGGACTTGACAGAAAGAGAGAAACAAGAGGGGAATAGCTGCCGGTGAGATAAATATGATGCGCCGTTCTCGGATCTCCAAATCCCGGCTTGATTTGTTATCGCCGTATCGGGACCCTGCAGCAAACACGCCAAGCCCCTATCAGTGCAAACATGCAAACTCGATAAGATCCGTTTTCTGTCGCCGCAATTTTTTGAGCTTCAATTCCGGTCCTTTGAACACATCACCCCACTTTTGATATTCCAACTCCATATCTGGCACAATGGTTAACATCAGACAAGCCAAGAAGAAGAGATCTTCTTTGCCCAAGGCTAAGGCCAAGAGGGCCGGTCTCCTCAAGAGCGGCAAGAAGAAGATCAATGTCTTGGGAAATGCTATCATTGCGGAAAACTGGTACGTTTATGATCTGCCAGAACAAATCAGGAAGAGGAATTACCTTTGGACTGTATACTAATACATCTCTCGATAGGGACCGCAAGCAAACCCTCACCCAAAACTACCGCCGCCTGGGTCTTGTCCACCGCCTCAATGCTCCCTCTGGTGGTTCTCAGAAGCGCGCAACCGCGGACGGTATCCAAGGAGAGCCCGAAGATTCCTTGTACATCAAGAGCAGCACTGAGGCACTCGCCAAGCAATCCGCCACGAGCGAAATCAAGGTTGAGCGTGATCCCGAGACCGGCAAGATTCTGCGTGTGATTCGCGGTGCGGCCGACGAAGAGGTCGAAATCGCCGGACGCAAGGTCAAGCGCAACAACCCGCTGAATGACCCCTTGAACGAGCTTTCGAGTAACGAGATTGTCACACAACCCCGCCAAAACGCCTCCGGAAATGGTATTGTTGAGCAACTCGAGCGCCAGGCTGCGCAGGAGGGAGTGGCCGTCCGGGCGAAGAAGCCGCGCCATCAGAGCTCCAGGGAGCAAGAGTGGGTGACGAGATTGATTGAGAAGCACGGAGACAACTACTCGGCCATGGCTCGCGACCGGAAATTGAACCCGATGCAGCAGACGGAAGGAGACTTGAAGCGGAGGATCCGCAAGTTGCAGCAGAGCCGGTCATGATTGGGATTTGAATTGATGCATTTCTATCGGCGAGTATGGCGTTCTGACAGGGCTGATTTGGGATAAAAGTTGCTTGCGGCTGGATTGTTGGACCACGTCCGAATTGTCTCTGCTTTTGCGGTTATACCATCTTATAGACTCCATCTGTGCATGTCTGGCACAGGTCGCAAATGCTAATACACTTGATTTGGTCATCCAACTTACCGTTCCTGCTTATGAACATTATCACACTATTTGTACTACCACGTGAGCTCAAGCACAAGCAGCATGAGCCATTAGCATGTCCATTCACTGCATTATATGCAACACAAGTCGCGAAGCTATCCACAGACGCGTCGAAGACGCCTGGCGCGTTCACATAGAAACATACAGATCCAAACTGCGTAGTTCTTCAGATCTCTACACCTTCTCTCCCCCTAATCCGTCTCATTTCCTCTATCCCAAACAACGCCAGTATCCCAACGCCAGGACCGGGACCATCACCATGGCTCCCAACTTCCTTGCCCTAACCACCTTACTGGCACTCCTGCTCACTGCCGCTGCGCAGATAGCATAGTCTGCCTACCCTCTCCCTATCTATCCTACAAAGAACCAGATATCTAACCAAAATGAAACGAAGCAATAGTGACCCTGAGACTAACTCGCTCGTCTGCTCCAAGCCTGGCGGCAGCTACTGCGCCTCCGGCTCCCTTGAGGGCCCGACTATCATCACTTGTGCATCTCAGCACACTGTGGAGATCAGTTCATGCAACCTCTTGTACGCAGGGCTTCTTCCTCCTAACGAATAGGCGCGATACTCACAGTAATGCAATATATAGTCTGAAGGACCTGCTCCCTGAGGGCTATGAGGAGAAAGCTACTTGTACTTACACCCCATATATGTATATATATAACCCAGTACTAATGAAAGAGCAGGTTATGAAACCACCTCATCGGCTGGTGACGCTCTCTGCGCCTTCAATGGAACCGGCTATGCCATCATTAAGAAGTCCAGAGATGTTGTTCCTGTCTCTGTGCCGGAGACTATTCTCTGCAGTGACGAACATGAGGATAGCAGCCAGAGTTTGGACGATGCCTATGATGCAGAGGATGCTTTCGACCAGGATGTCGAGGATGAAGACGTTGACGAATACTCTGATGAATACTCTGATGAGTACTTTGACGAAGAATTCGAAGAAGACGTCAATGACGACTCTGACGCAGACTATCCTGACAACGATGAACAAGAAAAAGGCGGCAATCCTCTCTTCACTCCAGTGGAAGACACATCCGCTGGCCCTACGCTCCCCATTGTTCCTCCTCTTCTGCCGGCTACTCATCTGCGAAAGGCTTCATCTACATCTAAACCATCGTTGACACTGATCAAGCTGCTGAGCATGACTTCTACTCCTCCATCTGCAACCGAAACTACAAGCATACAGGAAGAAAAAAGCGCTCTACGTAAACGCGCATGCTCTGATCCGGGAAGAATACCCCCATCCTCCTTTTCCATCCAGGATATGGGTTTCTCTACTCTTTCCTCTGATCCTACTTCCACCATGGACAGTCCTACCGCCGCTCCTTCTGGTGGTTATGACGGGCCTTTGTCAACCTTTACCTCGACTATCTACGCCAGTAGATTTACAGCAGTCACAGCGCCGGAGACCGTCACAATAATCGCTACTAAAACGGGCACTCCGATATCATCTACGGGTGTAGGGGACGGTAATCCTGAGACAGAAACTACCCCGGTCAAGACAAGTGACGCTAGTCATACTTCTGAGAGTGGGTCGGAACTGCGTGCGATGGATGATAGTATTGTGTTCCAGGATTTAGCTGTCATCTGGGTTATGTGGGTGGTTTTTGCGTACATTTTCGTGTGATGGGGGTGGTGTATTCATGACTCGAATCGATGGATATCGGTCAGTGGTGGTATGTTAGTGGGGTTTGTTATTTTCTTTCATGCGGAGTTGATCTCCTGGTTTATGCCTGCGTTTCAGCGTAGGAGTTTGTGGCGAGTTTCGGTTAAGAGATGAATAGCGGGCGTTAATGGAGGGAAAAGTTTCTTCTTCTGCCTTGGCTTCTACTGTGATGTATTCGCTGGCAATGGAAATGGAAAAGATTCTTCTCGCTACGTATCTTATCTATCGGACGCTTACATGTCCTTCACGAACCCCTGCTTGGACACGCATCCCTTGTCCAACATGATGTAGTAGTCTGCGTCTTTGATGGCCTCCAGTCGATGCGCGATGGTGATTACTGTCGACTCCCTCATCTCCTCTCGTAACACTTGCTGGATCTCGAGCGAACTTTCGTGATCAATTGAGGCAGTGGCTTCGTCAAGGATGACAATCGAGCTGCGGCGCAGCACAGCTCTCGCGAGACCGATTAGCTGGCGCTCTCCCTGGCTGAGGTTCCGTCCGCCTGCTTCGACGTGCGTCTCTAGACCCCAGCCGTGTCGACTGCAGATTCGTTTCAGGACGTCTGCACACTCTGCATCAGAGTACTCCCCTACTGGGTCTAGGTTCAAGCGGATGCTTCCGTGGAAGAGAACTGGGTCTTGCGCAACGAACGTGACTCGGGTGCGTAGAGCTTGTTTGCTGACTTGTGTGATGTCCAGGTCGTCAATAAGGATGCGTCCCGAGTCGGGACGGATGACGCTTAGGAGGGACACGGCCAGTGTGGACTTGCCGCTACCGGTTCGACCGATTATAGCTGTCGTGGAGCCCCCTGGTATGCGCAGAGAAACATTTTTGAGTGACGGATCGAGGTGAGGCGCATATCGGATGGTCACGTCTTCGAAAACGATGTCACGACCGAACTTAGGCCACGATGCAGGGGGGTCTATCGTTCCCGGCGATTCTTGCTCGACGTGAAGCAGCTCGTCTACCCTCTCAACAGATACGAAATCCATTTGCAGTTGGCCGTATTGCTTGCACAGGGCATGGGTAGACGCGACGAAGTTATTGGCTGCTACGAGCACGAACGCCGCTAAACCCGGCGAGACGCTCGTATACAAGGCCAGGACAGTAAGGCAGAATGTTGAGAGAGCGGAGAGGCTCTCGAATCGATACATGAGCCAGCTCTGGAGAGACCAGTAGAAGTGGTCCATTCCTTGGAATTTATCCACTACTGCGATGACGCGATCCTGGAAGCGCCCTTCGGCATGGAATGCGCGAACGGTGGTCAGGCCGTGAAGCAGTTCACCGAAATTAGATATCAATGGACTGAGTGATACCATCTCTAACCGCCGAAGGCTCTGCGATGCTGGTAGAAAACGCAGAAAGACCATGACAAATGCTGCCGTTAGTACGAGTGAGAATCCGAGAAAGGTCGGTGTCACTGAGGCGATCACAACAATAGACGAGATCCAAGTAATAGCCTGGAAGGCAATCATTTGGAACTGTTCGCTGATATTTCCATCAACAACGCCGATGTCTGAGGTCAAGCGATTCATCAATCGGCCAATGGGAGTCACATCGAAGAACCGAAACGTAGCATGGCTCACTCGCACCATGACTTCCTGGAAAAGCGTCTTTCCTGCACTGTAGACCATCACAAGCATCACAAGTTGCGCAACCAGGAGGACGACTGATTGGAAAGTGGTGATGATGAAGAAAGCCAACAGCCACGGACGGACATCTTCAACTGGGGCCGGGAATTCGTCAATTGGGTTGGAAGGTCTCCAGTCGAGCATTTTCACCATGGCCGACGGTGTTATCCAGTCCCCCGAGAACGACTTCTTGTTCGTACCCGAGTATCCGAACAACAGAAGTGTTTCATTATACGCTTCTCCCCACTCCTTCAAAAACCAGGATTGTCCCACAGATGTGAATCGGTACACAGCGAGCACGAGAATCAGGGTTATCCACCATCTGTACTTGCTGGCCCTGATGTATTTCCAATACACTCTAGCCTTGACACCCCATTCTGCTCGATGCTCTTCTTCGATGAACTTTGTCGGCACTGCAGCCGTCTCGTCGGTGGGTGTCGTTTCGCTCTCGGATTCAGTACTAGATGAACTATCGGACGAGCTGGATTCCGATTGACCACTCTCAGGAGACGAGAGCTCATGCTTATCTTCGACAACTGCGCGGCCCTTCTGTATGAGGACAATCTGATCTGCCATCTGTCGAACCAGGTGAATTCTATGAGTGACCAGCACAATTGTACGATTCTGCATCAAGGGACCGGAGAAGCATTTGCGAGCGACTATCTCGGCCGTGTTGTGGTCCAGAGCTGACAGGGGATCATCGAGGAACAGTATCCTGGCAGTACTGTACATCGCCCGTGCAAGAGCCACCCGTGCCTTCTGTCCACCAGAGAGACCGACTCCGTTTTCGCCCACAAAGGTTAGATCTCCATGCTTAAAGTTAGACAGATCGGGTAACAAGGCGCACGCATCCAGCACCCGTCTGTAACGTTGCGCATCATATGGTGAAGAGAACAGAATATTGTCTCGTATACTCATGCTCTGCAGCCAGGGGGTCTGGGCACAGTATCCAATCATTTCATTTGGCACGTATGAAACACCAGCGAGTCTGTCCAGTTCGCCAAGCAAGGCTTGAAGTAGAGCCGTTTTACCAGCTCCGACTTTGCCATACACAACAGTCAGCCCTTGTGGTACACTCAGGTCGACCTCGCGGAGGACTGGCAACTGTCTACCAGGCCAGGCGAAAGAGCAACGGTCCAGCTGAATCGGTGCTGGCTCGGCCTCGGTGGCCTCCTTCTTCTCCTTATCGGGCTCAGCCATGAAATCCTCAATTCTCTCCATAGCGATGGACGCATTGATCAGCACCGTTATGAGACTTGGTATGTCCCTGAGACGAGTTTCGAGCATAGTGAAGAGTTGTAGAGCAGGGAAGATAATGTCGATGCGTAATGGGTTTCCCGCCAAAAGAGTATACGCGTATAGCGCTACTACAGGGAAGAGGCCACTGGCGAATGTGTTAATGAACCGGATAACGATACCCCACAGCATGGTGACAATGCGAAGGTTTAGCTCAGATTGTCTGGCGTCCATAACCTGGCGCAACCAGTGATTCTGCCATCCATACCACCGAAGATGACGCAGCGCCTCCACAAACTGGGAAGAGACCTGTAGTCGACCATCCGTTGCAAGCCGGCGAACCCGTTCTTTTTGGAGCAGGACACGAGTGACAAACGCGTTCAAAACTTGCGCGATCAAAACTGCCACAATTCCCAAAAAGCATGAAGGGCCAAGCAGTTTCCAGACCAGCACAACCGCAATAACTAGCCCTAGGGGCTTATCGACCAACGTGTCGATCTCCCAGAAACGCTGGGCCACTTCGTAGACATCTCCGCGCAAAAGGTTGAATATCTTGCCCATAGATGCAGTTTCTTTGGCCTTTGCTTTGCGCGTGGCTCGTCGAAAGACGGAGAATTGCCACCACTTGCGCTGTTCCGGCTGCGCATCCAAAGCAGTGCTATCTTCATCTTGCACCCCAACCTCTTCTGCTTTGTCGACCAATTGCTGATCAAACACATTCTTTCTGGAAAGAGCTTTTTCATATACCATCATAATCATTTCGCCTCGACTTCTCTCGTAGCTACGTCTCCCATACCACAGACTTAGCACTTGCGACTGCGCGGCAATCAAGCGGAGGACAAGAGACAGCAAAGCATATGTCAAGGCAACACGGTTTGACGAGCCACGGTCAGTCATGGCTTGTAGCAACTGCTGGAGTAATACCGGTGTAGAAAAATCTACTACATCGTCAGCATCATCACATTAGGTCTGTTATATCAATGACCGACCGCAGATCATCTGCACAATGGCAATGGTGGTAATGATCAGGACATCGATTCCATTAGCCTGTAGCAGTCGGACAATAACAGACCCTTTCAGTCTGCGAAATTTCTCATGTAGCTTGCGGTGCTGAAATTCAAATCCTAAGAACCAAACATCTTCCTCTTGTAACTGCCTCTTCCTGCCTATTGAAATCAACGGGGCCATCCATGACACGCTTAGAAATTGCCAGAGCCGTAAATTGTCCTCGGGGCTGCGGAATTTACTGGATGGGGTTTGGCCAACAGCACCAATATCCATGCAGGGAAGTAAAGGACCTCGAAGCGGCATCACGAGGATTACAAGACATCCAACCAAAGCAGTACCGGCTGCGACATAATGAGGGGCGAGGGTAGATTCATGCGCATCATAGATCGTTATGAAGGCAATCTCTACTGCCAATATGCTAATAAAGAAACTGAATAAAGAAAAAGGGCAAGACCTCGGACGATTTATTGCGATCAAACAAGTTGCGGCCGTCTACTTGAGCGTCAGTGTAACGACTCCCTGCAGGGACACCCTTGGCTTACCCAGGCTATCAAGAGAGAAAAATTAGACGACCACCCCAGAAGGACTAGTTTAATGAGTTCAGATGATAGCCCTGCCAATGAGATAGCAAATAGGGTTATCACCCAACCCATCCGTTGTTTTGAGCCATCAATTGGCAAGTCAGAGGTCAGAGGCTGCTCTGGAACGAAAGGCTTGGTCCATTGGGGACGCTTTGCAATCGATATTTTACGGAGTACATAGCCTAGTACAGCAATTGAGACGACAATTGCGGGTATGGTAGACATGTATCCCATAGCACATGGGGATAGCCGCGCCCCGCGCGAGTCCTAGTAACATAGAAATATGTTAATGAACCACAACTGGTAACTTCAACATCGTCATTGTGGTTGCTCCCGATTTCTGACCTACCCATATCCATTGGCAGGAGATGACCGCTCCATAGTGCTGTTCACCCGGCATTGGAGGAAGATATCGAGGGATGGGTATCCTAGGACACTGGGACTGTCCAGAGGAAGCAAGGTATTGGAAGCTGTCAGCCCGCAAGTCCGCCTTCAATCTTATCGCAACGGCGGATCATCGGCGTTGCCTCCGAAACACACCCTGCTGCCTTAGGCAGAACTTAACCGGATGCGGGCGTTTCCCCACATTAGTGCCAGCATCTGGCAGGTTTCACATGGCAACTATTACTATGAAAGAAGGCTTTACAGGAACCCAAATTTAATCCTAAATAGTGAGATGATATTTCAACAAGGAGAGGTCTACCTTGTGTCTCCACTATTAACCTGCACTGTGTATGTAGGGTAAAAGAATAAAAAAACAACAATCGATAAGTGTCCGATAGTGCCCGAAGCGAATCCATCAACGCTGTGGAGCCTTCTTGCTAGCCACAGGCCTGGTAATCGTACGGTATCAGGGTGGGCCTGAGACTGTTATTGATTGCAACTTGGTCTGCGTGGGTCGGATTATACATGTCCACTTGCTTAACGCCCTTCGGGGCATGTACGATGTTGATCTGAATATTATCCCAATTTGATGGATACATCTCATCGCCAGTATCGTTCAGCGATCGTACATGTTATCATGTATCGCGGGTATCGTCGTCAGCTGCTTGATCATACTTATCGGCAGCTGGTAAACTGACACGGTGCACAATGCGAATCCATCGTCTCCTTCGCCATTCCCCCGTTACATGGGATCCGGTGTGCACCTTCTCCTCGTAATCTTGGGAGACCCTTTCTTTCCCTTTCTTTCTGCCCTTAGAATCATGTCCTTTTGATGGGTTTAATGACTCGAGGACATCATATGCTAACGTAGATACTGCCTCTTCATATCTGTTGGAGGCTGGAGGCAGGTCCCAGACCCAACCACCAATCTCGCCACTGGTCATGCCACTTTCCGATGGACTGCCGGAGACCTCGAAGCCAACTCCTGTGATCATGCGCTCCACTACCCATTCGCGACAGTCCAAATCCAACTCCCACTTCTTACCTTTCCACGCCCATCCAGTCGGGGGTTGGACATCCTCGAAGAATCGACAGCCCTTAGGACGATCACCGGCAATGCGTGAGGGAGAGAGCGGGTCGTAAGGCATAGGACTGAACAGAAAATGCTCCCACTGAGATTCAGAATAAGGAGCAAGGGAGCGATATTGGATCTCGAATACCTCAACCTCCCGCTCCTCTGGGGATGAGTCCAAGGAGATATTGGCCAGTGATTCCATCAATGACACGGCTCTTGAGGGCGAAGCAGGCATGGCCACACCGCCGAGGTTGAATGATTCCTGGCCTTTTCTTTCCGTTGCCGGACCCTCTTCTGCTGTCTGATCCAACATATCCCCTGCAAGACTCTGTACCAGGTCTGGAAAGCTTGGGTGCATTGACAGAATGGCTGCATTGCCACCAACAAGGAGAATGAGTCGCCACGGGAGTAAATGGGCGGTTAAAAATAATAGAGCTGCCATTAGCGTGCATGTAAGAAATACTGTCGATGAAAGTTTCTCATTGGAAAAGTTCGTCAACGGCGCGAACGCGGAAACTGTCGCATCATGTACATCGGAGTAGTCTGCCATGCAGTTTTGCAAATCTCTCATATTCCGAAAGAAATCCTTAGACGTCTCCGACGCTGGCTTAATGGTTTTCGCAGGAGCAAGGGCTGGGCCTTCATATGAGTAGTAAGGAGTGATGCTGGAAGTGGATGTCGAGGGAGGTGGAGGGTGGCGTGCGAGGAATGCAGGCACCATGACAAAGAACAAGAGTACGGCGAATGGAATAATAACAAGAAGATGGGGATCTAGGCATATGAAGGAATAGATGAAGAGAAAGGAGACTGTGTGGGAGGTCTGTTTCCAGCTGAGCAGGCGCTCCACACGGGTTTGAAACAGGAAAACGATGCCAATTCTACCAAAGGAATCAGCGTTTGAATCAGCCAGATAACGAGAAGAGTCTCTTTTACCTTGCATTGAATCGGCGGAAATTGTTGGCCATCAGAGGTAGACTAAACGCCGGCCGTTTACTATCGATGGCAATTGGCTTGTCGCCGACTGACACTGATTCAGCATCGACATCTTCGACGGGCATAACTTGCTCCAAGATCCTGTTTTCGAACTCAGTCAGCCAAGGTAATTCACGCGATATCGATATAAGAAGGATCTATTAAGAGTTTACCTACTTGGAGAAAATCCTATCCTGTAGGGAGCGACCGGCCTTGGACACTGATCGCTTCAGTACCCCAGGTTTTGATCGCTCGGCATCGTCATTGTGCTTCCCAGCGGCGATGACCGGAACCGGCTCGTCACGATTGACGAGGGCGTCCGTACTGTGATCTTCCATGATGCCCCATCCAAGGTGATGCGAGTCGCATGAGGCGAAGGTGCATGTCTGACGATAGACGGTTCAACTCAGGAGAGAAGAAAGCCAGTGGCTCGGTTGGTTGGTAACTCCGAGAAGCACATGCAGAGAGTGCCGCGGGAGCTTATCGGGCCTCACCATGTCAGTGCCTGGTATGGACAAGATGGCTGGCGGGTAAGAAACTTGCAGTAATTGCAGTAATCTGAGTAACTACTATGTATCACCTGTATCAAACTGGTAAAGATGATACGTCTCATACGCACGGTACGTTACGAGATCGACAGAACATTAAGCAGCAAAACCAGCAGTGTTTGAGTGGTTTGCAAACCCACCGGGCCCCATTTTTGTAGAAGCAAAAAGGAGCAGGGGGGCACAACTGGTTTCGCGATACGTTAAACAGCGCTTTGGGCTAGGAATTATTATTGTTGTTTACCACCGCTTTGTCTTCTTCCTCCATTTTCTCTTCCCACTTTCTCATCCTCTTACGCTTCCTGACAGGCCCCGGGAGGGTTACTCATTTCTTTGTCTGATTGCTACCGGCCGATTTTACCTCTTCGGTGTATTTCTACATTTGCCCTCGCCCCGTTCCTATTGTCTGGTTTCGTCCGTTGCTAAGGTATATGCGCCCGTAACTTTCTCTCCAACGCCAAGTCTACCAGAACTCCTGTCCTCGGCCAGAGTTCTCCTTTGCAATCCCACGCTTGGTTCTTCCTTTTGATATTTTTAACTGGGAAGGGCGCTTGGGCTCATCTGTCAAAGCTTCTTGGGAGATTTTCGACGGTCTAACTTGCTGCCCAGGTTTCTCGTCGACATCCCGGAACAGAGATCGCTGTTCTTGATCCCCGCAATGGACCGGTAGCAACTATCGATGGGTCGCGCGACGGTGTCGATAAAGGTTCTGCTTGGTTTAGATACTAAGCAGTCGTTTACTTCTACACGCCATTGCGATTGGGATCTCATTTCGATTCCTTCGCCAATCTGAGCTACCATCCTCTTGTCTGCCCGTTTGTTCGTCGGATGCTGTTTCTCGGTCGGAGTTGAGGATGTCGGAAAATCTAGCTTTCCAGCAAACTCCAGGAAAGGGGCAATCGCGCAGGGTACAATCAAGGCCATCTAGCCCATCTCACATTGATGATACAAGCTCGGCAGGTAAGTCTTGACTTGGGAATGGAATCCAGGCTGTTTGCGGGTGGTTAAATATCGAGACATTAACATTATCTCTCAATGAAGCAGATGGTACTACGCGCAGACGATTGCACAAACACGCCTCAACCCCGTTCCTATCGGATACTGCCTCCCATTCCCCTAAAGTCGCTGCTGGAACCCGAACTGGTGTGATGAGCAAGAGGAGACTCTCGATTCGAGACCAGAAAGTGCCACAGGGCCCGCGACCGCAGGATCCCTCACGAACAAGGTAGTTGGACCTCCTTTTCCTCTTTCTGGTGGATTGTTGCCCCTCTTTCCAAGACAATTCGTTTTCCTTGTTGGTTTATGCGCCAAGTTTACTCCTAGAGCTCTATGTGTGACGATGGGCTGATCTTGATGTCTTAGCAACATGTCTGGTTCCTTCTTTCATTCAGGTCATTCTTCGATTGATTCCACCAACGATTCGACGCAGAGCAACAACTCCCGCATCAGCCTCCGATCTACCAGCATAAGTAACTTCTCAAAAATCGAATACAACAAACCAACTCCCCATGACAGCACAGAATTCCTCGCCCCCGTTAATTTCGACGATCTCCATAACAGCATAACAGAGCCGAGTCTCAGTCACTTTCCCACTCCTGGACAGGCGGGGGTTGGGTTTGAGCCAAGGCTTCCGAACAATGGTAACGATAATGGCACGACTACTAGGTCGAGGAGCAACTCCGTCCGGCGGAAAAGCCTGGTCAACGGTTCTATTGATCCAGGTTCGGCTAGAGCTCCAGCTTCAGCCACGGCTGCTCGAAGCCGTCGCCAGAGCCTTGCCCAACCTACAGCCACAACCACAACTACTTCGCGCGCTCCTCGAAAGTCCATCGGCCCTGGCTCTCTCTCGGCAACTGGGACAGGCAGACGGCAAAGCCTGTCAGCACGAAAGGCCAGTGCAGACACAACACGGATGGATCAAGGCAACCTTCTGCGTCCGAGGACACAGCATTTCGAACCGGCCCGACAACAGGATGGCACGAAACTCTCTAGCAATTCCCGGAGCATTAAAGCCAAGTCGCTGCAACCGCCATTGAGGGAACCCCAGGATACCTACCTGACAGCATCTGGCCCTGCGGAGCATTCTCGTTCTTGTTCCACAAACGCTGTTCGAACTCCAGTCAAGAACGCGGCAGCTCCCATGGCAACTCCATCATCTTCATCCAAAAGGGTTTCGGTCATGCCGCCACATGCTACTGGCCTAGGGGCTCGGACCATAAGCCCCACTGATGCGCGACGAATTAAGCGTATGTCTACGGTGCCATCGGCGCAACAAGCACCGTTTACCCCTCCGACTCAGACAGAGCCCATGCCTACTCGTCCTAGGTCCACTGCACAATCTCCTTCGCATATTCCTCGAAAGAGCAGTGTAACCCCCTCGTCTACTCGTACTACGCCTGACCCAAATCGGAAATCTTATAGCTCTGGCTTATCTCTATCATCAAACACCAGCTACAACTCCGCAAGGAACTCGGGGGGTTCATTGCAGACCAGGCTATCTCAGTCTTCATCCACGTCACGTTTGCCTACCCCCAAGCCTCGTATGGAACATGCTGTGCCCGATGAGGAGGTTCCGCCTGTTCCTGCAATTCCAAAGGCGTACGAGTCACCCAAAGGCGATTTTGACCCACCAAATTATGTTACCCCCCGAAAGCCAAGTCTATACTTGGACGTCGAGCCCAAGCCTAAGGCAGAACAAGACTCAGACACGAATCAAACAGCAAGTGCGACCGAAGATGATACACTTGGAGCCAATGACGAGCGAGCTTTGAAAACACCGGATGCGAAAGCCAAGCCATCCGCCGGGCTGGCAAAAAAGAGTTTACAGCCCCTAAAGTTACCGCCGTTGAATTTACTTCCTCTGGGTACCCCAATGACGACGAAGATCGAGGCGTTGAAGGACCGGGATGATGACGTCAAATCCTACACGCCTTCAGCGCAGACTTTGTCCAAAACCCCCAGTACTCCGTTAACCGCCTCCAAGGCAAACTTTTTCTCACCTCAGGATAACGAGGATGCAGTGCCCCTTACCCAGGCTAGAAGTAGCACATCGCATTTCGCCTTGAGTACATCATCAGGCAGTGCGGCTCTTCGGACAGCCAGCAGCTCTAGTGCGCTGGCGGCTTTTGACAACATTTTTGTCGGCACAAGAACCGTCTCGCCATACATCGCGTACAGCTTGCCGAAAAGCACTAGCGACTATACTGCTTTGCGCACTAAAGCTACCGAAGATTGCTCTCCCAAAGTGACTCAGTCTCACAAGCTCACCGGGCCTCGTCCCCAAACACGATCATCCGCCTTTTCTTCCAATGCCGAGACCATCAGTCAGCTTTCGACTCCTTCTGACCCCGACAACAACAGCGTGTCGGGCTCCTCCCTCCGCAGTAAGATCACCTTCACTCGGAACCGCAGCAGTTCCAAGCCTCAGCAGGGGCCCGAGCCAAATGGCGACCCTATAAAACATGAAAAGATGCCCCCACCGAAGCTCCCAGCCTCTGCAACTTGGAGTAATATGTCAACAACGAGTACCTCTAGCCCATCGCTCAAGCCGTCCTATCTCAAATCACGGCGACAAGCATCGATGTCTACCGCTACCAACCAGCCGATGAGGAACCCTAGCTTCAGCAGCGACCAGAGCCTCGCGCTGGAGCCAAGTCCTTCCAACGAGTCAGGCGATAGTGATGTGGTAGCGCACCGCTCAGCGGCGTCGATCTTATCGCCTGTACACAAGATTATAAGCTCGGCCAAGTCGAGTGTCGGGGCCACGTCAGTTCCCACGGAGTCTAATGTGGACGCCGATATACGCGTGGCTGATGAAGAAATGCGACGGCTTGGCAGCAAGCGTAAAGATTTTGAGACTGCGGCTAGGAACTTGGATGATTTGCGCCGCAAAGCCAGTCCCAAGGAGCGTGTCAGTCCGGCACAGGCTCTGCGGGTCGCTAGTCTGAACATCTTCGAGCGTGGAGAGATCATCGACTTCAAGGATATCTACTTTTGCGGGACCCAGAATGCGAAAAAGCATGTTGGTGATTTGACTGCGCAAGCGAACTTTGGCTACGATGACGACCGTGGCGACTACAACATTGTTATTGGGGACCATTTGGCCTACCGATACGAGGTTATCGATGTTCTGGGCAAGGGTAGTTTTGGTCAAGTGGTGAGATGCATCGATCACAAGACGGGCGGCTTGGTTGCCGTGAAGATTATCCGCAATAAGAAGAGGTTCCATCAGCAAGCGTTGATTGAGGTCAATCTTCTCCAGAAGCTGAAGGAATGGGATCCTCATCGTAAACACAGCGTTGTGAACTTCACCCAAAGCTTCTACTTCCGCGGCCATCTTTGCATCTCGACTGAGCTGCTCGGCATGAATCTCTACGAGTTTATCAAGGCACACGACTTCAAGGGATTCTCTCTTAAACTAATTCGTCGCTTTACGAAGCAGATGCTGGGTACACTGGTGCTTCTACACAACAAGAAGGTAATCCACTGTGATCTCAAGCCAGAAAACATCCTCCTCGTGCATCCAATGAGCTCTGAGATCCGAGTCATCGATTTTGGATCCAGCTGCTTTGAGAATGAGAAGGTGTACACTTATATTCAGAGTCGATTCTACCGTTCTCCGGAAGTCATTCTTGGCATGTCGTACGGTATGCCCATCGATATGTGGAGTGTTGGTTGTATTTTGGCAGAGCTTTTTACCGGATACCCCATCTTCCCGGGAGAGAACGAGCAGGAACAGCTTGCTTGCATCATGGAGGTCTTCGGACCTCCAGAGAAGCACTTGATTGAGAAAAGCACTCGGAAGAAACTCTTCTTTGACTCGCTGGGCAAGCCGAGACTTACGGTCTCCTCCAAGGGTCGACGACGTCGTCCCAGCTCCAAGGAGCTCAAGCAGGTCCTAAAATGTGATGATGAGGCATTTCTCGACTTCATTTCCCGTTGTCTTCGATGGGATCCCAGCCGCCGTATGAGTCCACAGGATGCATTGAGGCACGAGTTCATTACGGGGGTGAAGATGCCGTCCCGAGCAAGAACCTATACACTGACGACGCAATCTCCTGCGAAGCGGGCAACGACGTCTTCTCACCCTTCTGCCGGCCGGCCTCTGCCGGAACCTCCTGTGACCAGCCTCAAATCCGGCACGCTGATCCGCAACCGGGATGCTTCGGGAACCTCTCCAGTCAAGCTACCCGCAGGCAAACGCCATTCGACTGTGAGTGGACTACCACCGTCGACGCCCGCCAAACGAGGGACTAGCATTAGCACTACCAGTACTCCTGGCTCAGCGCTACCTCGCGTTGCAGCCCGGAGTATTAGTGGCAAGCCAGACCTCGCGACGGCGGCGGCTGCGACCAGCCTGGTAAGTGCCGAAGAGCCCGACGAAACGCCACGCACCGGTCATTAACTTGCATACAGAGGACGAAATGAAGCGGGCAGTATCATAGAGCTTCGCATCTCTCCCCCTTTTCACTTCTTGCATATCTGTAATAATAATTGTTTGACTTTTTTGTTTTTAAGGTTGCATAAACGGGTGGAAGCATCGGCGGTTCTGTCTCCCGTTGTCATGATTGATTTTGAACCGTTATGGGCCCCGTGTGGTGGACGTCCAAGGGGTTCGTGGTATACCCTTAATTGAGCATCTGCATGCCTTCCGTATGATTTGCATTTCGATTTTAGAGCCCTTTTCCGAGCATGTTGTTCTCCAATCCTGTCATGACCCTGGGAGCTGTCTACTCCCCTTCCTGCATTTGTTTCCTTTGTCACTCTTTCCCCCATATATGCCTTTCTTATTTCTATCTCCTTTTCTTACGTCCTGATCGGGTCCTGATGGCCGGTGTTCCGTGTTCATGGGCGGGTCTGGGTAAATGTGATGGTGATGCGTGGATAGCATCTGTACAGTTGTCTCTTATTCTTTGGCCTCGCCTCATCATAGATATGGCAGTGACACGAATGGTGCCAGTGGTGGAGGATCGTGATGTTATGACTTAGACCATATAGGCATATATACCGTGCATATCGCCTGTGGATTTGTGTTTTCTGTAATGATGTTATCTACTAGTATTGGTTACAGTCCCGCTGTCGTCTATTCCCAGCTTCAAGAAGCGGGAAACGATGCTATCAGTAATGCTTGATATGAACTCGCCTATCCAGGCTATCGCCAAGCCCTCACTGATAATAAGCCCCCTGATCAAGCGGTAGAGGTGTCTGTTCTGGCCACAACAGGACAGTCCCATGCTTCACAGCCGTTACTTCCTCCGAATCGACAAGTAACCCCTGATGCTGAAGCAGACCAAGCTGGTCCGTAACCCAATACCTGCATCCGACACCTGCAGAGTCGAATTCATATTTGTGGCGGTCATTTCGGATAAGGGCATTATAGACGTCCTTGACCTTCAGGTTCGGAGTGACATGGAGCCTGAACTGGGCTTGAGCATCCGGTGCCCATAGATATGGCAACTCTGAAATAGCTATGAATCCTTTGGAGCCACCCTGGAGGACTGTGCTCGGGACTGTATGACTTGGCTGGCAATCGATGCACACGGAGGTTGTATCTGATGTTGCGAGATAGAGACACCAGTGGTTAGTGCCGGCATTCTGGGTGTCAGGTACTGCGGTGATGCTATGCACTGGGCTGTTGAGGATAACTGATTCGCGAGATGGGGGAATGAAGTGGATGATTTGGAAGTTTGGCATGTCTAGTATGCTGTTATGGTTCTATGAGACTGCGTTTCTGGTTAAAGGTCTCACAAGATCGACAGCCTTGTGAGAAGTTCTTTGGTGGTGACTAACTTCCTTGATTATTCAAAAAATGATATATAAAGAGGCACACACTTCCTGAGTCGACAATAGTTGTATCTGGCATACACAGATTCTTTATGAAGAAATTGGTACTGTAGGAGGTAATACTTTAATTAACTAAATAGTTAGTTAGTTACTAGTTAGTAGTTATGGTTCACGGAGGATGATCAAGGCTTATCGATAAGGGCGGGAAGGGGAATTGCGGAGAAAGAATCAACAACTAAAGGGAATCCGGACTACTTGGCCTTTCGGCTTCCTTTCGCCAATCCCTCCGCCGCTCCCCTCTCTTCCTCTTGCTTTCCTCAGCCTCCATACGAGAGCTTTGAGCTCCATTGATTGTCGCTCCCTATCTCCTCATCGAACCTACACTCTGTCCTTCCTTTCATTCTCTTCTACCCTCCCCCTATTCATGCCTTGATCGGTTGAATTGTTATACACTTCGCGACACGCATTCGTGATGAATGGCTTCGCATCGCACGGCCTCGACGAGGATGCATTCGGGGAGAAGTCTGGGCTGCAGGGCGGCCTAAAGACATTTGATGCTTTTCGTACGTTGAGCTCTGTCTCCATGGATCATTTCAATGTCCACAATCATCCATTTACTATGGCCTAAGCCTTGTAATAAACAGCCGCGCATGGATATACTGCCGGTCCATACCAGCTACACCCGGAACTAACATCGCATTATTTATCCAGCCAAGACAAAACCCTCATACACTGCCCCATCCCGCCGCGGAGGACAATGGACCGTCCTCATTCTCGTCATCTGCACAGTCTTCACCTTCTCAGAATTCCGCACCTGGCTCAGCGGCTCCGAGAACCACCACTTCAGTGTCGAAAAGGGCGTCGGCCATGACCTACAACTGAACCTCGACCTCGTTGTTCGCATGCCCTGCGACACCCTCGACGTCAACATCCAAGATGCCTCTGGCGACCGCATCCTCGCCGGCGACCTGCTCCAACGCGAGCGCACCAGCTGGAAGCTCTGGATGGACAAGCGCAACCGCGAAACCTCCGGCGGCGTCCATGAATACCAAACCCTTAGCCAGGAAGACACGGACCGAATTTCCGCCCGCGAAGCCGACGCACACGTCCACCACGTCCTCGGTGAAGTGAGGAAGAACCCGCGCCGGAAGTTCGCCAAGGGACCCAGGCTGAGGCGCGGCGATACAGTCGACTCATGTCGCATCTACGGCAGCCTGGAGGGTAACAAGGTCCAGGGTGACTTCCATATCACAGCTCGCGGACATGGATACAGGAACTTCGGAGAACATTTGGATCATGGAGGTACGTTGTCACCCTCCCATCTCTTACCCACACGTTCAAGAAACAAACGTAGTTAATTAACATAATCCCATCACCAGTCTTCAACTTCTCCCACATGGTCACCGAACTCTCCTTCGGCCCCCACTACCCTACTCTCTTGAACCCGCTCGATAAAACCATCGCCACCACCGAAACCCACTACTACAAGTACCAATACTTCCTCTCCGTCGTCCCCACCCTCTACTCCAAGGGCGCCAGCGCCCTCGACACCTACACCAACCACCCGGATCTCATCTCCACCAACAGGAACAGGAACCTCGTCTTCACCAACCAATACGCTGCCACCACCCAAGCCCAAGAGCTGCCCGAGAACCCCTACTTCATCCCCGGCATCTTCTTCAAGTACAACATCGAACCGATCCTGTTGATGATTAGCGAAGAGCGGACGAGCTTCCTCTCGCTACTGATCAGACTCGTCAATACCGTCTCGGGAGTCATGGTCACCGGCGGTTGGGTGTATCAGATCTCTGGGTGGGTTGGAGAACTGGTGAACCGGAAACGGGGCAGAGGAAAGTCAGAGGGTGTGCTTACGGGGAAGCATTATGCGGAAGATTAGATTATCTCCATTATCATCATTATCATCAATTTTGTTATTAGCATTATCATCTTTTGTCTATTCCTATGTCCTTGTCTCGGATTGTGTACATCTCTTGTGAGGATACGAGGGAATCTGAATAGTTAGATAAAGAGATATGTGTTTTGCGTTGCATTTTGTATCCTTGCTTTGCATCTTGCTCTTATTATCAGGAAACTAGCACGTCGAGAGAAATACCCGTTCATGTGACCTCGTCCTACTACATTGGAGCACTTATACAAGTATCATCCATACTCACAGTGCATGACCCGTTCCGGTATACTATAAGAGAACGAACCAAACAAACAAACTAACCGTCATCAAACACAAGTCCATTTCACCCTATCCCCGCAACCCACGGTATCATTCCCATTCAATAAACCTAATAGAAAATAAACTAAACCGGGAGGGAGAAGAACAAAAAGAAAAGAATCTAAATCTGAAAAATCTCCCCCATACCCACACCCGCCCCCTCAGCGCCAGCCCTACTATCCACCAAATCCAACCGCCAACCATGCCAATCCCTAAGCTTCCTCTTGATCTCGCGCACCCATTCGACCCTCTTCCGCGCCTCCTCTTCAGCCTGTGCGCGCGCAAACTCCACCTCGTCGAACTCATCATCGAAGTTCTCCTCGGAAAGGAGCTCCAGACTGCCCCGTGTGGCGGGTTGATGGTGTTGCTGGTTTGAGGAAGCGCGGCCGCGGGTAGCACCACCACTTCCACTACCGCTACCGCTACCTCCACCGTAGAAGGTGTTTCCGCCAGTGAAGGCGGCGAGTCCGGAGGATAGGACTGTGGAGAAGGAGGAATGTTGTTGTTGGGACTTGTGGTTGTTGGCAGCCATGCTGCGGCGACGGGCGTGGTCGGGAGTTCCGCCGATGAGGTCGACGTCGTCGAAGGTATTTGCTGCTGCAGCGGCAGCAGATGGTGGGGATGTATGGGGGAAGGAGGTATCTGGGGAATGGAGGTGATGGGCATGGTCAAGTTCCTCGCGACGTTCTTTCCAGACACCGCGACGGAGGTCGAAGACTTCGCCTTCGAGATCGCGGATGCGGCGATGCAGACGGGAGCGTTCTTCGTCTTCGAGTTCGTCGAGGGCGTCGTCGTCGGCGCCGGCGCTGCCGTGGTCGGTGGCGTGTCGTTTACGGAGGGACTCTTGTTCTTCTTTGAGGCGGAGGTTCTCGTTCTCTACGTCTGCGAGTCGTTTGCGGAGTACTGCGGCTTCTTTTTCGATCTTCTCGGTCTCGCGGAGTCGGGTTTGATGCCGGGCTTCTGATTCCTTGTGTAGGTTGCCCATGGCTTCGAGCTTCTTTTCGAGGGTCTCGGCTTTCTTGTCTGTTGTGGTCTTCTCTTGTTTGAGCTCTTCGAGCTCGCGCTGGAGGTTCTTGATTAGGGTTTCTGTGGAGGTCTTGTCTACGCCCTCTTTGACGGCCTTTTCTGAGGCGCGGGTCAGCGCGCTCTTGGTGTCGGTTAGCTCGCGCTGGGCTTTCTCGAGCGCGGATTCACTGCCGGAGAGCTTCTCCTCGAGTGCTGCTATTTGGGCCTCGTGTGCGCTGCTCGATGCGAGCTGTGCGCGCAGGTTTGAGATCTCCAGTTCCATCGCTTCGATCGTCGCGGACTTGGATTCTAATTGCTGCACCAGGTCCGCTGGCGGAGACTCCGAGGGGCCTGGCACAGAGACGCTGGCGGTGCTTCGATGCGTGCGGGTTTGTAGATGCGAGTTTTGTCTCTGGAGGGATGCGATCTCTGCTTTCTATACACCCAGTAGACCGTTAGTCTTAAAAGTCCCCGATAGAGTCCTTTCAGGACCATGTAGAGATAAAAGGTCAACTCACCAACTCCTCAATCTCCCCCACCTTCGCCTCCGCATCCTGCAACTTCACCTTCAACTCCGCAACATCCACACTAGCCTCCCGGAGATCCTCCAACTGCTCCTCCGTCTTCTTCCACCGTCCCTTCCCCTCCTCCAACTCCTTCTCCAGCCGCTTATTATCCTTCTCCAACTCCTCAATCCGCGTCGACTGCTTCCGATACACCTCCTGCACCGCCTCGCCATCCGCACTCAACGGCGGCAACGAAGGCGACTTCAGCATCGCACTCGCCGCCGGCGACGGCGACCCACTGCTCCCCTGCGACACGGATCCCTTCCGGAACGACGATGACCGCATCTTCGACTGGATAGATAGAGAGGGCTGTCGACCGTGCGCTGACGCTCTTCCGGATGACTCGGGCTTCATGGCAGGTTGCGCGGGGGTTTCAGGACCAGGCGACGTGGGTGCATCGGGCATAGGCTCGGTCCCTTCTTCTTCTGCTGCTGCTGCTGGGGCTTCGGTTTCTTTCTTCTCCTCCTGGGGTTGTTCTTGTTCCTTTTCTTCGCTCTTCTCTGCTTTATCGTCTGGTGTGGTGGTTTCGGCTGGAGCTTCTGTCTTCGTTTCTGGCTCTGTCGCCTTCTCTGTCTGCGTCTCCTCTACCTCCAGCGCAGCACTAGCACCTTCCTCCCCTCCCTCCTTCTCTGTAGCCGGCTCAGGCGTAGGTTCCGGGGTCGACGCCGCGGGCGCATCTTCCTTGGCTGGTTCTGAGGACTCGGCAGCAGCAGCGGGGGTGGTATCTTTCGAAGTATCGACGCTGGCGGCTTTCTTGTTTGCTTTCTTTTTCTGTTTTTGGAGCTGGGCTACCTATTATTCCATCCGGTTAGTATGACTTTCGCGCTGCGCTTTAACGTGTTGTCTCAATGTATCGCTGAGGACAGATGCATGGACCGGGGTAGGTAGGTAGCTAGTGTGCACTTAACGGAGATGCGTACCCTTTTCTTCGCGGCAGCTAGCTTCTCAGCCTTGATGCGCTCTTCGTCATCCGCCATTGTGTGAGAACTGCGGAAATGCGCGTGCGGGGGAAGTGGAATGAGTAGTGTGTTCTGGGAGTTGCTTGTTGATGATGATAGATGGTCTACTTGGTGATAGTCGGATCGGAGGACAGCTTTGGCCGCCGCGGTGCACGGACCAATCGGGGAGTACCAAGTCGCTTGTCTTCACAGTACTTGTTCTGTTTGATTACTGAATAGCTGGTCTGATCTATAAATAGCTATTTCTTCTGTCTACTCGTAGTGGATAAGATGAAGAGAGTCAAAATGTCAATTTGTAATAAATACAGGAAGGAACAGAAGAATGACAACGCCCGCCGTTGTGGAACCTGCCCTTGAGCGCCGCATCGGATTGCCGTGACGCAGCACGTCGTTCGTCGTCATCATCATCATTAGACCAACAGCCGTTCAATTACAATTAGGGGCTTTCCTTCCCTTCCTTCCGGTTGCCGAGTATAACGCCCCTAGCCGGTGCAAATGCAGGTTGAATGCAGCAGACAAGAACACAATTACGCCGAGCAGTCGAACCAAACGAGAACAAGCAACTGAACAAAACAGCCAAGTAAATGGCAACAAGAAGGGCCGGGTTGGTTGAAAGTGAAGAATAAACAGGTAAGGCAGAAGGGAGGGGAGGATTAGACCTCCATTGAGTCGGCGATTTCCTCGCTCATGGCCCGAACGGTGCCCTTGCTGCCCGATCGGGAGCGAAACTCCTCATCGCTGAGCAGGTAGTGGTCGTATTCGTCCACGACTGGATGCGTGGGCTTCGACCCACTGGCTTCCTCGTCGCTTTCGCTCTCGAGTTCAATACCCTCACCCAGCCAGTAGCGAGCCCGCTTGCTCGAGCCAAGTTCCGGTGTCAAGTATCCGTCGTCGTACGTCCTCTTCGTTGTCGGCGTGGCAAGTCCCTCGCTGGGCGTGTGGCTAAGGATTGGGATCGCTCGTAGATACAGATAACAGACGCGTTTCCGTAGTCGGTTGAAGAAGAAGTAATGAAGACTCCAGATTGCTCCATCGTCCGCATCTGACGGATCCTCATCCGGCGAAAACGAATAAAGGGAGCACTCTTTAAGAGACATATGTTCATCGATCACCCTCCACATTCTCGGCCCCCACGTAGAAGACGCGCCCGCATTATAGGAACCCGATATCGTCACGGGGGATGGAGGTGTCAGATCAATGGCCTCGCGTGGCCGAAGATTGAACAGTGTTGAATCGATCGTGTTCATAACCCTCTTCAAATTCCGTTCACGATGGAAGTCTGACGGGCGCAGCACGTGGGAGAAATCATAATCCGGATGACTAGCGTTTAATGTCGCGATCAAATAGGCAAATGTTCGTCGACTGGAGTGGTCGCTCAGGGGACCGAAAGGACTCGACCGCGACAGGTTGAGCGAGGCGGCCGCGTCCGATGCGTTGGGAGGTGAAAGCGAAGCTGACAGACGGAGAACCGATTCATATTGAGACTCGAGCGACTGTTCAATGTTCTTGTACAGTTTCCGATCGGCTCGAGCAGCCTTTGTAGTGTACAGATCGCATCCCCCAACAATGTGACAATCGGCAGTGTCGAAATTGAGAGAACTCGTCACGTCTTCGAACTCGGGCAAAGGAAGAAACTAAAAGGAAAAGGTATGGGTAAGTATCAGGCCACTCTATGGGAGGCTGCTGCAGCGCAATAGGGCTATATTGCATACCTTCATCTTCAGCCAGAGTTGCGGTGTAGCCGTCGCTGATTACGATAAGGCGTGATGATAGATAAGCGGAGAACACCGTGGTCGGTGATCAAGACACAAGGTGATGCGACAAGCAGATCAAAGCAATTGTCGCAGCAGTTGGGTTCAAATAAACCGGGGCCGTTGTCTCCTGAGACGTCACGAATCCGGCGATAAGAGTGAATGAGCTGGCGAGTGGAACCGTTGCTACGGTGGCAACACAGGAGCGAAGAATGGGTGAGTTAATAGGTGAGTATGGAGAGCCAAGTCGCCATAGCAGATGCAGATGAGACGGAAGGAGATGGAAGAAGACTCAGGGAAGGAATGGGAGATGGACAGCGCGATAGAGCGACGACTGGTCTTGGGGGGGATGGGGGATGCGCGCTGCGCCCCGAGGGGGGCCCCCAGTCACGTGGCGCAGGTCGGGCCAGTGATATCACGCACCCACCTCACGGGTTGCGCACTGAACCAAGGATGGCCAACCAGCCCAGATAATGAGGCAAAGTGTGGAATCATCCATTATTCTCCCGGATGATCCGTCCATTCTGTGAATCCCCTCACAGGAGCCCTTCCTTGGCTAAATGATTGACGACTTCCTTGGAATCCTGAATGTAGTCATGGTGGTATTAATTAGTTCTTGGCAACAAGTCGCGAGACAGTAGAACACAACGCTTATGTACGTCCAACGCCAGTATGTATAGCAGTCCAGCTTGCCCCAGAAACAGAAACGAACATCCCAAACAGTATAAACAACAAAGAAACGCTCGCGGGCCGGAGAGGCGTCTACATAATCTTCGTGACCACGTCTTCCTCAACCTGAGGCGGCATTAGCTGACGTCGACAGAAGATGATGGTATGGCTCGCTGGGATGAAGTAATTGGTTGAGGGGGCAGGGCGGGAGGAAACGATGATGTGGGAAGGGGGACAAGGAGGTTGTCGCAAGAAGTGATTATGATGTCGGGACCTCGCAGGTATAAAAAGGGGCGGGCCGGAAAAAGAAACGTAGCAATTGGAGGCTCCGAAGACAGGTATTCCGTGCTCATGTTCCAAATAGGGGGGCTGGGTGTTGTGAAGCAATAGACGCTGTCGACTCACCTCCATGTCTTCCAGACTGTCCTGCTGGCTGATGCACCTCAAGACATTCTTCTTGCTGCTCTCCTGCATTTCTCCCGCCAGCAACAGCTCATCGAGGATGAAGTATGCCTTTTGGAAGTTGAAGATGATATCCAGCTCGCACACGTTGCCGTAGTACTTGTCCATCTGCTCGACGTAACGATGCACGACCTCGAGGGTGATCAACTCGTTATCGGTGGACGCACAACCGGCGATGAAGAAGAGGGAGGCATAGCGACGGTAAACGACCTTGGTGTCTGGCGACGACGAAGAAGCAAGTCAGGTACAGTCCGGTCGGGGTAGTGGGCGAGCTGCGGGGGAGTATCCAAGTGAGGGGTGGAAATGATTCGGACGAACCTTTGTATTCGAGGAAATTGCACATGCGGGTGCGACGCGACAGAACCAGCTGGGTTACATCCTTGATGATCTTGGCCTTCTCCTTGGGGGAGAGAGTGGTGAACCATTTGGCAAGGCGCTGGGAAATTTTGTTTTGTTAGTCTCCGCTTCCAGCCAGGTCACAGAGTTGGGTGGGCCACGAAACGAACCACTTTGCCCTGCCTCGACAGGAGAATCAAGTAGCTGGGGGAATGAGAGGTTAGCGCATTTCCGGCCAATTCAGTAGCCGATGATGGACTCACTGGATTGCCATTGTGCGAAAGATATTTGATAGTGGGGATGGGGAAAAGGGGGGTAGAGAGGTAGAAAGGCCACGAGGGAAGTTGTGGGAGGAAGAGGGAGAGCCGGCCGAGCTCTGGAGAAATTCTTTGCACGGGCCGCCCTGGTGTTGTTGCCCCGCCGTCTTCACTGCTTCTTCCTCTTGTTTGTCTACTCGATATGTACTGCTACAAATTAATCATGAGAGGGAGAGATAAACCCAGATAATTGACTAAATGGAAGAAGAGTCTTTAACTCCAGATTAGGCTTTCAAGAATTTCGCGTGCATCAACCATTTCGACCACCACATCCGATGAGAACTCCAAACAAACCGTCAGCAAGCTCTTGTGTATTCAAGTACTTCAGGCTCGCAACAAAACATTGAGTCACTGATGCTCATGACGAGGCAATAAGACCGAATCTGAGAAGCTGCACTAGATCAACGGCGATGTCAACGAGAGGGACATTGTCTTGATAATGGTAGGTACCCAAGCACCTATGGAACAGTAATTAGCGATATGGACACCTTCGGGGCATGATTCTCAGCGTAACTTACTGTAGAGGATTGACTAGAAGGTAAACAGACACTGTGCTCGGTATCTCAGCATCCTCTAGTAGTGTGGTAATCACATCCAGTACTACTAAATAGTAACTGGCAGTTCTCTGTTTCCTTGTAGGGACAGGAATGTATACTATCACTAACTACTAATCCGTAGCAAACAATGCTAGCATATATTTCAGCCTCACCTTATCCACCAATACACTTACCACCTTAACTGGCATCTACTATCTACTACTACATACCACTGATTCTATTCCATAACCATAACCACAACAATCTAGTATAACACACTCCCCAAAATCCTGCACAACTCGAACAAAGAAACATGTACTCACCCCAACAAGGGAAAAAGCAATCCTGCAACATTCCCAAACCAGGCATGTCACACAATAACGACCAAGCAAGCAAGCAAGAAAGATAAAAAGAAAGAAAGATACTAACAAAGAACGAAATGACTCCACTCGGCCCGACCCATCAGTCATTCAGGCCAAGTGGCAGCTGTCAGTCAGATCACACTACACTATCACGATCATGATCACAGCAACTTCTCTTTGTCGCCCTAAAGTCTAGTACTACTGCTTTAGTAGTATCTAGCTGCAAGTCGCATAGTTTAGACACACACACACACATACGCAACACACGGAACAAAATACCGAAAGAGAAACAGAGAGGGGGAAAAAAAAAGAGAAAGGAAAAGAAAAAGAAATCAAAGGATAAAATGGGACCACATCTGTACGCGTCCCAAGACAGTAATCAATTGATCCCTCCGACATGCTCTTCTTTGTCAGGGATATCCTGGACGGGGAATCTGGACTAGAATGATGGGTCCCGAGATGGCCGAACAAGAAAAGAAAAGCCCCCAATCATTATGAAAGTGACACGTTCTCTGGCTCTGGCCGCCCCCAATATTATTGTGACTTAAAACTTGGGAAACTTGACAGGGGATATCCAAGTACTTGCAAAGTAACTGACTTGCCATAAGGAGATACATACATGATGTTGTAGACAGAACTGAAGGAAGTAAGTCAGTGCCGAGAGTTTTCTGCGGTGTATCCAGGCTATGAACTGAATGAACTGCATTAAGATAATATGAAAATAAAGGAATACGGTGGAAATATGTCTGAACCAAGTCAACACTCAACTTGGCACATCCTATACTTGCTACTGTCTCCATTCAATTCCCTTTGTCCGAATCATACTGTTATCGGTTATCTCGTGCATGAATCATCACCCATCTATACTCTTTGCCATCAAACTAAATCCTTTGTTTCCGCATCCGTCTACAATGAACCCCTGTAGCCACCACACCATCCATGCTTGACCTGTGACTTACTTAGCAGTATACTAGTATGATAGTAAGACTCATATTCTCTAAACTTCGGGATCAATCACACCCCCACTCAACGAGTCAACAAAGCAACAAGGTTCATCCCATCTTATCATCATCATCATCATCCATCAACTAGACTAGCATCTACACCGCACGGATCGTATCACCAACCTTCCCACACACCACCCCCCTACACCTCCCACACCAAAAAGACATACGACATTAACAGAAAAAGGAAAGGCGAGGATCACCAATGCGCCACACACAGCCACCATAACTCAATCGTGCGGGCGGCAGATTAGGGCCACCCACCGACCCTCCCAAGTCTCCGGAAATAGTTCGTCGTAGTTCATCTCGGCAACGATGATATCCGGGATAGAAAAGGAAAGGTTAACGAGGGATAAGCCTCCACCCGAGGCTAACTAGTACTAACTAAACATATGGATGGATGGATGGATGGAAGGAAGGAATTTACATACTATCCAAGATAGGCAACACCTCCGATATAGTTAGGTAGATAGGTACTTAGTGAACCTACTACTTACTTTCATACGCCTAGAACTGATAATAATAAGTACATCGTACTTTGGGGGGCAAATCTGGTTTCCAAGAAAGGAATTGCCACAGACAGACCGATAAACAAAGTGGAGACAGAGGAGATGATGAAGTGTACCGGTGTAGAGAGTAAGTACTTTGTCAACATAGTATACTAGTACTAGTTATATGATATCAATCCCTATTCCGGGAGTCGGTGACAGATGCATTTACTGAATAATAGGACTGAAATTGAGGCGAAGTCAGTCGTAGTACTTGTTGAAAGTATACATCATCACCATTATAGTCAATCCGGGAGGAATCTCCAACTAGCCCTCAGATTGTACTTTTACTTTTGGGTGGATGTGGGAGAGGAAAAAACACCACAAACAGAAACAGACACAAAACCACGCAAAACAGTAGCAACAGCAGCAGCACGAGGGGGATTAAGTTTCCGAGTGGATCGGGCCTTCTTTAGCGCGCCTCATTTCCCTCGAGAAAACAAACCAAATAAAGTAAAGTAAGTACTACTAGATAGACCGGTGGGTGGTGGTAGTATCTTTCGTAAATGATGGGGATGGTGGAAAAGTACGTAGTACGTATCCATCGGGCACAACCAGGATGATGGGATTTGATACATCGTCTTTTTTTCATTTTTAATCTCGGGAGCGGAAGAGATGGCGATTTACCGGAGGAATTGTAGACTTGTTTTTTCCTTCTTCCTCCCATCTTATTTCTTTTTTCTCGCTTCAGTCTGACGAAAACCGGGAAGCGCTGAAGGACTGGCGCATAGTGCTATAATTGCTTTTTCTTGCCCTTTTTGGAGCAGAGACATCATCGAAAGGATCTACCGCCAGATGCAAGTAGCAGGGATCTTACCCCACGGTTTTTTCTCTTAGCGCATCCTTAGCTTTGGGCCGGCGATCAATCAATCAATCAATAACTTTAGTACTTAGTAAGTAAGTACTAGTTTTGGTCTAAAGTATCTAGCTCGGTATTTCTCCAGCCCTGTTGAGGGCACGGTTCCTTTGTTGGGAGTTTGTCTGATCATCTGCCTCGATCCAAATCCCTGAGAATCACGCGGCAGCTTCGCTTTTACCACTCATACTAATCTTTTCGTTACATGTAGGACACTTAATGGAGGAATGAACCGGGTATATACCATAATCATAGTTATTGTTATTATAGTTCTTGTTCTCATAAACGTCAAAATCAACATAGTCACAGTCAAATCATCTCGCATAAACCCGTCATCACTGTCATCACTGTGTCCAGCATGTTATGCATGCGCCTTGTAATACCTATGCACCCCCTGCATGACTCCGAGCGCACCTCCCACTATCACCACTCCAGAAACACCAAGTATCACGAGAAGCACCATCTCAAAGAGGCCCATTCCCAGGCATTGCGTGGGTATCGTCCACATCGGGTGGGCAACCCAGGAACCCTTTGTCGTAGCCGCATCACCACCCCTGTATGCTTCTTTCCCTGTCTGCTTCCCGATTCGGGGCACATATCTGAACTCGAAACGAGTGCGTGACTTTCGCTGGACCACTCCACCATACAGCAAACTTCGGAACCCCTGTCCAGAGTCAGTAACCGTGCACCCTGATAAAGATAAGATTCCACCTTACAGCAATCAGTAGTTCATCCAGACCGAGAAATAGCCGCTGGACCCACGCCATAGCTATCACTAGTGCACAATACCCACAAAACGCCAGATAGAACAGGAGTCCTGGTTTGCCAAGTTCCAGTTCATCACACAGCTCGTCGCCATTGATCCACCGACTGCCCGCTTCGATGAATCCCTTGGAGACCTTGAATGGCCCTGGCAAGTTCGTCACGCATTCCACAAAGTTAAACGCTACCGTTCGCGACGTATCAGTGGTACGGAGCTCGTGCGCCAGAAGGCTTTCCATAGTGCATTTACTCCGCTCCACTGTTTCAAAATACGATGTGGGCGTTCCAAGGAGAAAGCCCAGGTACCGAAAGAGCGCAATATAGTCCTTGACCTCATCCGGAGTAGGCTGGATGCCAAACTTGGGTAGTTGAAGCCACATAGGATTGCAACAAAAGGTGCTGATGGAGTGGACCGAGTCCAGGGTATTCACAGGTACTCCAAAGCGAGCCAGGTCAAAGTAGTCTGGCCTGGTTCGACAGAGCTGAACGATGCGCTGGCGGACGGAAGCATGGAGCAATCTGACCCGGACGCTGGCAATGTGCCCTTCGCCTCCGGGGCGAATTGATTCAAGGCAATGGGTGACTTGGATGAGCCACTGGAAGGTCTCGAGCAATCTGCCCAGAAGCATACGGGTGGAGAAGCCTCCTGTTCGGACAAGGACCTCGACAACCCCAGGTGCCGCCTGATGAGCATCATTAGCTTCCTCGTCTCTTGCCTACAATTGTGCGATTAAGAACATACCGAGTTTTCCGCCACAAACCCTTGCAAAGCGAACCCCACAATATTGGCAATGGCATAGCGATAGAAGAATTGCTGGCCGCGTTGTAGCTGCTCCCAGTCCACCCACTCAGGCACAGTGTTCACTTCGGTCCAGAACTTGGCCAGGATATCGTCATCCCCACGGTGATCCCGTAAGAGGATGTAAAGATCACCAGGTGGTGCGCTTGTCCCCTTTGTTCTGCTTTCTTCCATCAGGGTAGCCCGAATTGCTTGTAGCCTCTCCAGCGCGTTAGCCGCAGAGCTATCATACTGCTGGCGCAACGGCTCTAACTCTTCCTTGGAGAGATGGTCTTTTGTCCAGGAGAAGGAGTAGCCCCAGCTACTGATTCTGTCACCAGCCTGTGGGTGTAGAGAGGAGACCATATTGGAGAATCAAAGAGCAATACTTGCAAATATTGAGTGCAATAAGGTGTCTAATAGGCCAATGCCTAGAGATTGATAGTCGGTCCATTGCGCCTTTCACCCGCATTTTATACCGCAATCCAGGATACCAAGCTAGGAATCGACAAACTATAGAGCTCATGGAGCTGAGCGACAACAGTGGCCACTCCATGTATCGGACCTGCCTTCCGCCAGTGTTACCTGACAAAAGCAATTGGGTTCTGGGCCACCCCTCACGTTCACCCATCCTTTTGGGACATGATGTCTAGTGAAAGCTACTAACGATGCATCGTGCTCCGGGCGGATGTTCGAGCCCAGTCCCGTGGCTGCGAGGCGAGACACCTCGTGGGACCCACTGCGGCGCCCCAGCAGAGTGGCCCAATGGTTTGGTCACGATCGAATGTGCTCGTTCCCACCATGGCCAGACTGGTAATCAATGGACAGGCCGGCGAGAAAATCAAGGGCAAGGGAAAAAGCAACAAGCTGTACCAGCTCTCAGACCCGGAGGCGCTAATCAATGCTCTTGGGCCCCGTTGTCATGATGCCCAATCGTCCTAGCATGCAGGTTAGCCAATCTCCCGGGAAAGGTTACCAAGAATAAGATGGGGAGACCGTGCTAAATCCCGGAAACCGGGGAGAGATCCGGCTTCCGGGCCGATCAAAAGTCAAGATCCTGAAGCCCCAAATGGGTGCTCTAGACGCATTCGGGCA